GGCGGGGGCCATGATATCGCCCCAGATGTCATGGCGCCTCGTCTTATTTCAGTACGTGTCCCGGCCCCCCCCCCCCCCTAGGCCGCGCACACGCCGCCGGCCGTGGTTTGCCCCCCCCCTCCTGGACGCCCCCCCTCTTGGACGCCCCCGAAATGGCGGATGAGTGTGCACCCCTGGACGCCTCTCTCGTTAAAGGCTTAACGACTTCTGCCGTCCTTCGACTCGCGCTGGAGCGGCCGCGAAGTGCTCGAACTTTCCCTGGAGATCTCTGGATTTACCTGGATTTACCCAGATTTATCTAGATTTACCTGGATTGACCTGGATTTACCTCGATTTATCTGCATTTACCTGGGTTTATCTGGCTCGATTCTCACAAGTCGATTGGCGAAAAGTCGACAAGCCCTTAGGGACTCTCGGAGGCCACCGGCCCAGGGGGCGCGGGAGACGCCGCGGTCGCCGCCCCCCCTCGGCGCAGCTGAGCGGCATCCTCGGCGCAGCTGTCAGAGCAGCCATCCGCGCAGCTGTCGGCATCACGGCAGCATCATATTCAGGAGGAAAAAAAACACACAGACACAATTAATCGTCGATCCCCAGGAAAATATGCGAAAATATGGGAAGTGGGGGGGAAGACAAAAACCCAGAAAATATGGGAAAATATGGGGAATCTTTTTATTTGTGTGTATTTATTTGTGTGTTTGTGGGCCCCTTCAAGCATCATATGTCGAGTGCGGGGGGAAGCGATCTTGGCCCGAGGTATACCCCAAGGGCTGCCAGGGAGGCCCTCGCGGCCCGGGAGGAGGCCCAGGAGGGCGCCCCGGGCTCAGTTAATGACGTGGGGAGTTGGGGGAAGTCGATTCGGTCCGGGTACTTCTGTCAACGTCCGACCAGTCACTCTCCTCGTCATCTTCTTCGTCGTCGCCGGCACTCCGAAGTCGTGGATGATCCTCGGCGCACCACGCCCCCGCGGCCGCCCGGCCCTCTGCTCAGGATTCCTGCTCAGCCCCTCTTGCAGAGCAGTGAGCATGTCCCAGGTCACGAAGATCTGCACGAACGAAATGGGCACGGAATGAAGGGGTACAATGCCCAACAGCGGATCCTGTTCATTTTGAACCGGACTCGCTGTCCACGCCGCCGCGGCCTGCGTCCATTCGAGACAGAAGGCCGCTTGCCAAACAGCGGCCGCTGTTGGTTTGGGACAACATTTGTTGTTGGGCATTGTACCCATTCTTTCCGTGCCCATTTCGGGCGTCCAAAGAAGAAGCCAAGTCTCAGCGAAATTTTGAACAAGGCATCGAAGAACGGTCTGACCAGTGGCAGCGCAGGCGCGTGCGCGCAGACTTGTAAACGTGCTGGCCCTCGTGCCGATGCGCGCCATCGTGAACTGCCAGCGCAGAACCCTCGAGGAGGTCGACACGAAGCTCGACGCTAATGGCGGCGTCCCTCGCTTTACCGCGGCCGCGCCCAAAGCCTGATCCAGGCCCCCGCCAGCGGGTTCGGCGACACCGCCGCGAACGACGGCGCTCTAGCCACGCTGGAGCACCCCACCGCGGCCATGACTATGGTCGCGAGCACCTGTGCTGCAGGCTTTCGCGCCTTCCTCATGCCCATCGGCGCGTGGAAGACGACCAAGCAGGTCGAGGGCGCCGACGGCCTGAAGCGCCTCGTCGAGAAGACCAAGAAGCAACCCACCGCTCTCTGGCGGGGGGCCGTCAGGGCCATGACGGCCACGTGGGACGGGCACTACACGTGGTCCTACACCCACAATGAGCTCCGCACGTCCATGCCTCAGTTCGATCTCATCTGCGGCAAGTGCGAGCGCAATGCAGTGAGTGGTCGGCTTCGCTTCCGCAGCGGTGTCCGACACGTGTTCCAACTCGCCGCGGGTGCTGAAGACGACCCGGCAGACGTCGCTGGAGCCCGTCTGCTACATGGAGTCGGCCAAGGCAATCATCGACAAGGAGGGCATCGGGGGACTGTTCGGCCGCGAGCTGAAGACGGGCATCCTCACCAACGGAGTGCAGGGCGCTCTTCTCTTCACAATCATCAGCTGGAAGGCCATTGTTGATATGTTCAACTAGTGACGATGGAAGTAGCCTTGAAACGCGGGCGGGAACTATGATCATCCGTCCAGGGGCAGAAATTGAGATCATCCCTCCAGAGTCCCCTGGAACAGTCGGGGCATTCGGCCACCGCAGCGCATATGAGGGCGTGTCGTAGGAGTTTTGCGCGGCTGGCGATTACTCCGCATTGCTAAGTTAATGTGGACGGCGGCACGTGCTACCCATTTTACATACGTGTGTCTTCCGATTCAGGAGGCCGAGTAGTTCATGCTGCGGGCATGGCGCCATGATCCGGGGGCAGTATCGCGGGCCGAGTAACCTTTTTTGTGGTTGGCACGATTGTGGAAAAATGGATCGCCCGTGCTGGCAAGAATGTGTCTAAAAGACGTGCTCGCGCTCCAAAGCTGGCCAGTGGCGAGGTGTTGGGGGGGCAGAAAGGTAACGATACCGCCGGGGCGCATTCTGACAGAGAATTTCGAGGAGAATTTAGCCGCGGCGACGAGGGCTCGCGAGGACGAGCAGCGGTATCGGTATCGATTCTTCTTATGAGCAGGAACTTTCTTCAACGGGCGCAGGTCGGCTCGGTCCAGCTGCTGGCAGGTTGACTCTTGTCTTGTACTCGGCACGGCCAGGAGCGGCCAGCATGCATCGATCACGACTCCTCCTGTCAGAAGCGCGCGTGGCCGCACAGCAGACGAGAGCACAGGCCCGTTGGCTCAATCAAACCTCCCGGTGGCCGGTCGCACTCAGGCCCTGGGGGGGCCCGAGAGCTTGCGAGTTCTTGGGCGACTTCGTTCCGATGCTGGTGCTGCGGTCAGTAGCGCAGAGGCGGGACCCGGCAGGGGGCGCGGGCGCGGAGTGCTTGTGGGCGCGGCGGAGGTGATCAGGTTTGTTAAGGTTGAGAGTGTGGTAGGGAGGTGGAGAAGTGCAGGATTTGCTCCATCAGCTAAGCCAAGCCTTGCCGAGAGTTTCGGTCCACGTCCGCTGTTGCTGCCCCCGACTGCGTGTTGAGGTCAAGCTATGGCCAAAAGGCCGTTGGGGAGCCGAAGCTGCGGCCTGTGGTCCCCAAGTAAGCTGTTTGTGTTCGGGTGGTGGTCCTTGGTTCCTGGAGTGGTGGTGGCGACCTCCGAGCGCGTGCCATGTGCACATGTTTGCATACACACACATGTCTGCGAGCATATATTTATATATATATATATATATATACACATGCACACACACACGTACATATATATATGTATGTATGTATATGTATGTATGCGTACGTGCTCAAAGTATGTATAAGTGTGTATCGTGTCCGCTTCCTTGCTTTCTCCCTCCCGTCCTCTTCCTGGTGTTTTTGTCCAACCCTCCTGTGTTGGGTTTGCGTTTTTCCCCAACCCTCCTGTGTTGGTTTCTCGTTTTGAATACAGCAGTGTGGTCGCACCGTCTTTCCTTCCTTCTCCTCCCCTCTCCTCCCTTCTCCTCCTCCTCTCTTGTTTGCTGTGCTCCCCTCTCCTCTTCTCTCGTACCGTCTGCGATCTGCGCAACTGTCGCCACTTTCGTGGGCTCCTGGGAGGCCCAGCCGAGGTACGTCCCACGCGGACCACCTCGGTACCTCGCCGCCCCCTGGGGGGGCTTGCGATCCGCGCAACTGTCGCCACTTTCGTGGGCTCCTGGGAGGCCCAGCCGAGGTACGTCCCACGCGGACCACCTCGGTACCTCGCCGCCCCGTGGAGGGTTTGCGATCTGCGCAATTGTCGCCACTTCCGTGGGCTCTTGGGAGGCCCAGCGGAGGTACGTCCCACGCGGACCACCTCGGTACCTCGCCGCCCCCTGGGGGGCTTGCGATCTGCGCAATTGTCGCCACTTTCGTGGGCTCCTGGGAGGCCCGCGAGGTACGTCCCACGCGGACCCACTTCGGTACCATCGCCGCCCCTGGGGGTCTTGCGATCTGCTGCGCACGGTGTCGCCACTTTCGTGGGCTTCCTGGGAGGGCCCCAGTCGAGGTAAGTCCCACGCGGACCACTAAACTTTCGGTACCTAATCGACGCCCCCTGGGGGGCTTGCGATCTGCGCAATTGTCGCCACTTTCGTGGGCTCCTGGGAGGCCCAGCGGAGGCACGTCCCACGCGGACCACCTCGGTACCTCGCTGCCCCCTGGGGGGCTTGCGATCTGCGCAGCTGTCGCCACTTTCGTGGGCTCCTGGGAGGCCCAGCGGAGGTGGGTCCCACTCGGTTCACCTCGAGACCTCGCGGTGCCCTGGGGGCTGCGATCTGCGCAGCTGTCGCCACTTTCGTGGGCTCCTGGGAGGCCCAGCGGAGGTGGGTCCCACGCGGATCACCTCGAGACCTCGCCGCCCCCTGGGGGGCTTACGATCTGCGCAACTGTCGCCACTTTCGTGGGCTCCTGGGAGGCCCAGCGGAGGTGGGTCCCACGCGAATCACTTCGGGACCTCGCCGCCCCCTGGGGGGCTTACGATCTGCGCAACTCTCGCCACTTTCGTGGGCTCTTGGGAGGCCCAGCGGAGGTACGCCTCACGCGGACCACTTCGGTACCTCGCCGCCCCCTAGGGGGCTTGCGATCTGCGCAACTGTCGCCACTTCCGTGGGCTCCTGGGAGGCCCAGCGGAGGTACGTCCCACGCGGACCACCTCGGCACCTCGCCGCCCCCTGGGGGGCTTGCGATCTGCGCAGCTGTCGCCACTTTCGTGGGCTCCTGGGAGGCCCAGCGGAGGTACGTCCCACGCGGACCACCTCGGTACCTCGCCGCCCCCTCGGGGGCTTGCGATCTGCGCAACTGTCGCCACTTTCGTGGGCTCCTGGGAGGCCCAGCGGAGGTACGTCATACGCGGACACCTCGGTACCTCGCCGCCCCTGGGGGGTTTGCGATCTGCGCAATTGTCGCCACTTTCGCGGGCTCTTGGGAGGCCCAGCGGAGGTACGTCCCACGCGGACCACCTCGGCACCTCGCCGGCCCCCTGGGGAGCTTGCGATCTGCGCAGCTGTCGCCACTTTCGTGGGTTCCTGGGAGGCCCACCAGAGACACGTCCCACGCGGACCACCTCGGTACCTCGCCTGCCCCCTGGGGGGCTTGCGATCTGCGCAATTGTCGCCACTTTCGTGGGCTCCTGGGAGGCCCAGCGGAGGTACGTCCCACGCGGACTACCTCGGTACCTCGCCCGCCCCCTGGGGGGCTTACGATCTGCGCAACTCTCGCCACTTTCGTGGGCTCCTGGGAGGCCCAGCGGAGGTACTGAGTGGTCAGTCAGCATTGAGTGGTCCTGAGTGTAATCGCCACATGTATAGAAAGGGTTGGGTACGTCACAGGGTAAGTGTTGCCCCCCCCACCTTTCCTTCCAATCTCTCGCCTACAGATTCCCCTGACGTCTGCTGGCGCATTTGCTTCCACTCCACTGGCGAGCGCGCTCTGGCTGCTAGGCTGGCCAATGCCCAACGGCAGCGCAATTTAGAAGATGCTAACGGCGCGTTCCCCCGCCGAGGAAACCCAAAGTTTGTGAGCCTTCCCGCAGCCACGAGGAGCCACCGAACCCTGCGGTTTCACTGGGATGCTTGGGATTGCGGGGGCGCTATATCTCAGAAACCATTCGATGTCATTTGGATGCCTGGGATTCCTGGGAGCCCCTCCCCGTCGGACAGAAATCGACCCTGGAGCCCCCCAGGGCTCCGAGTGCCAAGCATCCCCCCGAAGTCACCGGGTCCGCGACGCCCGGTCAGCCCAAACCTTGTGATGTCATTCGGATGCTTGCGACTCCTTCCAGAGATCCAATATGTTAAGGGGGATGCTTGGGATTCCTGCGATTTCCCCCCTCCGACAAACATCCACCCTGGACCCCCTCTGAGGGCTCCGAATGCCAAGCATCCCAGTGAGTTCACAGGCTTCGCGACGTCAAGGAAGACGAAGCCTTGCGATTGCACTGGGATGCTTGAGATTATTCTGGTGCTTACCGTGTAGAAATACTATGGTTTGATTGGGGCGCTTGGGAGTCCTGCGGCCCCCCCTTCCTCCGACAAAAATTTGACCCTGAAGCCCCCCAAGGCTCCGAATGCCAAGCATCCCCCACCGGGTTCGCGACGCCAGGGCAGCCAAAACCTTGTGGTTCCACGGGGGTTCGTGGGGATTCTGGAATGCGAGTCCCAGAATACACACGATTTCATTGAGAATATTTGGGTTCCTGAGAGTTTCCCCCCCCCCGAGAAAAATCTACCTTGGAGCCCTTTGTACGTTGGTGCGCTAGTCTGCCCGATTCGAGGATACCCGTGCTGTTGGATCCCAACGTGGCCCTGAGCGCAACCGCGCGCGGTCGCGGCAGTTCCCTTGGACCGCCCCAGTTCCTCATCACGTTGTTGCCCGACATGATCGGAGGGGGGGGGTCTACCTAGGGGGCCTCCATGTGCCAACAGACGTTCACAGAGCAGACGGCCCCACGCGGAATCGCGCAACGCTGGAGCCGAGCTGCGTCGGCACACTGCGTTGCCTGATGCCACCGCCTAGGCGAAATCTCGACGGCGCGGAGAATTGATGCGCCAGCGGCGCCTTCGGTTCGGCTGGGTCGTCTCTTGCCGCCGCGGGCCCGTCTGAGCTGGCGAGGGCGGCAGCGCGCGGACGCGGCGAGCTCTGTCAGCTCCGCAGCGCGCGCGTCGACGCGGCGGCTAGCTTGGCGGAGGCTCCCCCGCGCGGGGGAGGCGACCGAGCTGCCGCTCGCGGCGACATGGCCCGCGGCGGCGCCGATCGTAAGTTCGCACGACGCCTGACCGAGGCGGCGGGGCGCGAGGCGCGCGGCCTCAAGCGCGCCGCTCCGGCCCAGCTAGCGCGTGGCCACCACAAGTTGGTCCAGGCCATGCCCGACAACGCCGAGGTGTCTCACGGGCTCGAGGCTGCTGGACGGGCCAAGTCGGCGGGGCCCGACGCGGCTGTGCACCGCCGAGGCGGGGCACGCCCGCCGGCCCCGCGCCCCAAGCTAAACCCACTCCGAAGGGCAACAACGCCCCTGAGGCTCCTGGCGCCACACGGGCGGCGCCCCCCGATCGCGCTCGGGGCAACAACGCCTCCGAGACTCCCAGCGCCACACGGGCGGCGCAACCCGATCGCGCTCGGGCGGCAGCGAAGCGGACGCGCGCGCTAGTCGGACTCGCGTCCGAGCCAGGCGTCGCTTACGTCTGGACACGGCTGCCCGCGCAGAGGTCGACGCCACCTCGAGCAGCCTGGCAGTTGCACGCTCCGCCACCGACGAGGCCGTCAGCGCGATCGCCGAGGTCAGCGCCGCAGGGCCGCGATCCCGCGCTAGCTCTGTCTCAACGCCGAGGTGACAGGGCTTGCAGCAGGCGACAGAGCGGCTGCCATCCGTTTGGCCGCCGTTTCGGGCGATCGCCCGACGCTCAGCCGAGCGCCAGCGCAGCGCTGCGGATGCTCCGGAGGCGCCCCCCCCAGTCGAGGAGCCCGCCCCCGCCCCTCTGCTCGGCGTGAGCCTCTCCAACGACGCTGTCGCGGCCCCGCAGGGGGCGCGTGCCCCAGGGGGGGGGGGGGGCGGGGAAGCGGCCGCCCAGACCCGCGGTTTCGCTGTTCCGATCGTGCCCCGGTCTGGATCCTGGACAACGCATTCGGTTTTCTGCCTCCCGCCGATCCGCTCGCACCCTTCGGGCAGAGCGGCCCCCGCTGCCTGGTGGAACCATCAGTTGAGGGCCGTCGGCGCGCCATTGCTGCCGGGCCCATTATCCGTCCTGTCGCCCGCCAAGGCCTTGTCACGTCGCAAAGGTCTCGAGTCCGGCCGCCGACCTCGCTGCTCGCCAGCGAGGAGTGCGGGAGAATGGCCCTCTTAACTAACTCTCCGTGCCTCCATAGCGCTCGCGGTCTCTGCAGCTTCTCGGCCCCAGCCCTTTTTGCCTCCTCGTCTCACAGCGCTGAGCCTGCGACGCTGCAGATCGCCGACCTCGGCGACCAGGTGGCGCACGCCACCTGAGAGGCGCTGCTCGGCCCGCTCGCGCGTCGGCCCCTGGCCTCTTTGGGGTCGCCTCGCGCGCGCACGCTGCGCGCACTGCCCAGAGACCGCTTGCCAGCGAGCAGTGCGGGAGAATCGTTTCTTGTACGCGTATTTGTTTCTGCTACGTTATGGTGTTGACGCCGCCGATGCAAGAACAAATTGGACTTCAGCGTTGAGAAACATCGTGTCGCCGCATTGCTCTACCCATGTGCTGTCGAAAACGATGCACGTCCGCAACGTTGCCCCCTCCTCCCCGCACACGTCTTACACAACGCGTTCACAGTGCGTCTGGTGCTGGGCGTTCGGAGGTTTTTGCTAGACGACGGCGCGGGCCTTCATCCACAAGTCACCACGACGTAGGCTTCGTCCAAACTTGCTCTGGAAAGCATACTGGGCGCAGGTTGAGGGGTCAAGCCATGCAGTCTACAACATGCATCGCTTTGGACAACTGGAGATCGATATGTCGAGATACATCTATACATATATATATATATATATATATATATATATATACATACATATGAATGTGTATATATATATGTGTATGTGTGTAATGGACATATGCATACATACATACATGCACGCATGCATACATACGTGTGTGTGTGTGTTTGGTTGCTGGGCCGACTTGTCAATGACCCACTGCTGCGGGCACAAGTTCTTAGTTTTCACAGTGGTGCTGCCGGTGCGCTCCAGAATCGGATCCTGTATCTGCGCGGGCATGTCTTGGAGGCATGTGGGTGCTTGCAGCAGACAGGGCAGCAGCATGAATGCGTGGTGCTTGCCGCTGCCGTCCAGCTTCCTCTCTCCAATTTCACCGCCTTGGTAAGTGGCATGGGTTGTCCTGGCTGCGCGTATCTCCACCAGCCCATCAGAAATGATGTTCAGGCGAGTCGCCATTTTTCCTGAAGGTTTCTTGGGATTCCTTGGGGGCCAGATTGATGCCGTGGGGGGGGGGGGGGCGTAAGGCCCTTGGGGGTTTTCCTGGGGCCTCTAAGCAGCTTTCGGGAATCTCTTCGTGCCATCTTGGACGACATATCTTAAAAAGGGCGAAGTTTCAATCTGCCCCCTCCGCTGGAATTCAGAAATCGTCGCCCAAGGTCTCGGCCTTGAGGTCTCCTGCAGTCACCACGAGGACCAACCGTCATCACTCAGGATTGGAGGAACAGTATTCTCCAGTCTGGCCGTTGCAGTCTCGCTGTGCAGGGGAACGTGTTTCCAGCAGAGATGTCTTGGAGGGGCTTCCGTGAGTATGTTCCCAGAGTGGCCTCGGGGAACATGTTCCCGCAAGGTTCTGGATGTTTCCAGAGAGATTTCCAGGAACATGTGGCTTTCGAGGGGGGCGTCACGGCGCCACAGCAATATGTTGACCAAGGTGGGGTGTGACTCGCTTCGCCCGGGGTAACGCATGGACAGTCAGACCACCACCACTGAAACGATCGCTGTGACTTGCAACCTACCTGCAGGCGCCCGGCAAGGGGGTTGCAACCACCTTGCAGCTGTTGCAAGTCGACCCGACCACTACAGCACCATCATCCCAACGGCCTCCTCCGCCTTCACCTCCTAGTCCGCCTCCCCGCCATGCCCAACACTGGAACCCTGCGCCTGCCGCACACGCACTCTGCGAGCGAGATGACACTGCCCCTCTGCAGCGGAGCCCTTTCGAATGGCAGGTCCGCTGCTCTCCTCTTGTCAATCGGCGGCAAAATTCGAACCCTACCCTCGCCGATCAACAATTCAGGCAACTCAATGGGCGACGGGGCTTCGGAATTCGTTTAACATTTGGCAAAGTCCGAACCCTACCCCCGCCTCCCATCGATTCGGGAGCATCGGTGGTTGGTGGGAATAGGGTTCGGATGTCGTCACCTAGTCAAGGCGCAAGCCTTCTTCGTCGGCATTGTCATGGCGCCTGCCCCCAGTCAGCCAAACAGGTATGTGACCGAAGACATTCGGTGACCGAAGACGTACCCGAAATTGTGGCCGAAAACGTAGTGCGATCGAACGTGAGACCGACATTGAAAATCGTTGTGGCTTCGAAGCAAGACGCGTTCGGGGAGTGCTGGGCGCGGTTGGTTTCGGCCCCAGCCGCGCAGATGGTCGGGCACGGCTTCGATCGCTGCACCACCCCCCCACCACCGATAGAGACGAGGCTGCGTGAGCGTGCATCACCCCAGACGTCGGCGCAGCAAACCTGAAGCGCCACGGCGCGCCGCGGCGCGCCGCGGCGCAACGGCGCGCCGCCCGAAGCGCAGTGCCGCCCCGCCCGAAGCGCCACGCGACCCCCCTCGCACCCCAGACGTCGGCGCAGCAAACCTGAAGCGCCACGGCGCGCCGCGGCGCGACGGCGCGCCGCCCGAAAGCGCAGTGCCGCCCCGCCCGAAGCGCCACGCGACCCCCCTCGCAGAGAGGTTGCCGCGGGCTCGTCGGACGGCGCGCCGCGGCGCAACGGCGCGCCGCCCGAAGCGCAGTGCCGCCCCGCCCGAAGCGCCACGCGACCCCCCTCGCAGAGAGGTTGCCGCGGGCTCGTCGGCCGCTGGGGTGCTGCGCGTGGGCGCAGGCGGGCGGCCGCAGCGCCCGCACGGGGGAGACAGCGAGGAGGAGGGAGAAGAGGAGGAAGGAGAAGAGGAGGAGGAGGAGGAGGAGTGGGGAGGAGGAGGAGGAGGAGGAGGAGGAGGAGGAGGAGGAGGAGGAGGAGGAGGACCAGAGTAAACCCAGGATGCATCAACGATGCTGCAACGCACCCTCCCGTCCCAAGCCCCCTCATCACGAGCCCCATACAGGTGTTCCCCTGCGCCGCGGGCAGCGCCCCGCCCCTTGAATGGCGAGCGCCGGGTGGGCCTGGCACGGAGGCGAGACCCCGTTCGGCAAAGGATCCCCCTATCAGATCTTCGACAGTGGAGACCCATGCCAAGAAGCACCCTGCTTGCCTCCAGGGTGTCCTGGGTGTCTTGGGTTTCGATGGTCTTGCCATGGAAAGCGCGACGCTCCCGCACCAAGAATCCATGGACGTCCTGGGCTTTCAGGGTTGGGTTTCTTGCGGAAGGTTTCTTGTCGTCGGGCCCCCACTGTAGCTGGAAGACACGCAGAGAAGTAGGGTGAGGAAGCTCATGGAAGTGTCCAGCGAGAACCGAGTTTTGAAAAGGAGCTGGCCTCCACCCGTAGAGGTGTTGGACCCGTTCAAGGCTGTGTTTTTTCATGTGTGTGGAAAATCTCCAGCAAGGAGCGCATTCTGGAAGGAGCCGCCCTCCATCCGTCTACGTGTTGACGTGTTGAATCACGTGGACCCTCGGGTCATAGAAAAAATGAGGAAGTCTCCAGCGAGAGCCGCATGCTCAAAACGAGCTGACCTCCATACTTGCAACTGCTGAAAGTGCTGAAAACGGATGCGCGCGGCGCGAAGGCGAGAGCCGCGTTCCAAAAATCACCACCTCCTTCACCCGTGAAACTGCTGGAATTGTTTGAGACGGTGGCGTGCGCGGCGCCACGGCGAGCGCCCCGCGTTTGAAGAGGAGCCGCCCCCCATCCCTGCAGCTGCTGCACCGCTTCCAGGAGGGGAGAAAGCACACACAGACACGACGAGTCGTCGAGTTGCGTGCCCCGGTGCCCCTGTCACACATGGAGCCCCGGAAAGAAAACACACAGACGCAATGAATCGCCGATTTGTGTGCCCCGGTGCCCCTGTCACACAATTTACCAGCCTCGAACGTATCCCTATCCCTAAGATTGACACGCCAAAAGGCGATGACAATCTTAGGGACTCGCCCTCACAAAATAAGAGAATCCCTAAGATTGGCATCGTGATGAGGAGGTGCCCAGCATAGAGATAGGGATATGTTCCAGGCTGGTAAACAATGGAACCCCGGATCATAGACTTGAAGGGACCCGCCGGCCCGGCCTGCGGACACACCCGGCAGTGCGGCAGGGGGAGGGCACCCATCAGGAAAGGCACAGGGAGGAGGACGACCGCCTCGTCTTATGTCATGACGTCCCCAGCACCCCCCCTGGGCCGCGCACATGCCGCCGGTCATGATGTGCACCCCCCCCCTTGGGCACCCCCCTCTTGGCCGCTCCCGAGAAGGGAGAAGCTGGAGGAGGGGGACGAGGGGGGGGGAAAGGTGAAGGAGAAGCGGAAGGAGAATTGGGAAGCGAGGGGAGGAGGAGTAGGAAGAAGACGAGGGAGACGAGGAGGAGAGGAGCCGAAGGGACCGAGGGATGCGGATGAAAGAAAGGGAGAAAATAGGAGAGCAAGAGAGGTGGCCAGAGGCGAGGTGAGGCGAGTTGAGGAGTGCTGAAGCAAGGGGAAAGGAGGAGTGGAACGAAGGGGACGATAAAGGGAGCGTGGGAGGATAGAAGGAGAAGGGGAGGCAAAAAGGGGGGAGGAATGAGGAGGAGCAGGAGGAATGGGGGGGAGGAAGAAGAGGAAGGGGAGAGGGAGGCAGAGGGAGAGAGGGGGAGGAATATGAGGAGAAGGATGACGAATCAGAGGAGAGGAGAGAGAGAGAGAGAGGAGTGCCCTCGCATCACGCCTTGCGTCCTACCTTCCCGCCCATAACTTTTCACGCTGCGCGTATCGGGCGGTTGAGGTTGCGTCGGGTGGAGGAGCAGGAGGTAGAGGTACCCAGGTCGAGCGAGTCAGCGCGCCCCACCCTCCTCCTCCTCCTCCTCCTCCTCCTCCTCCTCCTCCTCCTCCTCCTCCTCCTCCTCCTCCTCCTCCTCCTCCTCCTCCTCCTCCTCCTCCTCCTCCTCCTCCTCCTCCTCCTCCTCCTCCTCCTCCTCCTCCTCCTCCTCCTCCTCCTCCTCCTCCTCCTCCTCCTCCCTCCTCCTCCTGCCACCCTCACCGCCGGAACCTGTGAGCCACTGCTGGCGCAGCTGGGTACACTGCTGGCCCGGCGTGCGCCCCTCCCGGCTGGCAGACAGAGGGCCACCGCGCGCGGACCCGCTTCTCTTCGACGACCTCGCGAGCCTCGCGCAGGCGGGAGCGGAAGGTCCAGACGGAGGAGAAGGGGGAGGAGGAGGAGGAGGAGGAGGAGGAGGAGGAGGAGGAGGAGGAGGAGGAGGAGGAGGAGGAGGAGGAGGAGGAGGAGGAGGAGGAGGAGGAGGAGGGGAGGAGGAGGAGGAGGAGGGGGAGGAGGGGGAGGCGGAGGAGGCGGCGTGGGACCCCGTGCGGGGCACGGGATGCTCAGAGGGAATCCCCGCGCGGCGCCTCGGCGAGCGCGCTATGCTGCATCCTCTCGCGCGGTGGTGCTCCCTTGTGGGAGCGGCGAAGACAAAGCGTGGGCCGTGGCGAAGCAGGACGCGAGGAGAAGCACATCAGCGACGGAGGCAGCGACGACGACGACGACGACGACGAGAATATGAGATATGGATGTGTGGGGCAAGATGCACAATAAGCACAATGAGAAGAAGAATGAAGGACGATCTTTCTCTCACGTGCAGACTGCGCTCCACACGCTCTCGTTCCGGAGGGACGGGCCAGGGTTGCAAGGTAAGCGCCCGCTTTGCTATGGCCATTCCCCAGACCGCCGACGGCGGCCCCTCCGGCAGCTCGGGACGCAGCGGGGGAAGAGAATCTGTCAGATCAGACGGCACGGGAACGAATCTGCTGAACACCCTCGTGCCGACTTCAAGCGAGACGCTGCTTCTTTTTCCCCCTTCCCCCGGCAGATCTCGCCGGGGAGGGACAGGAGGGACGACGGAGCGTGGGGAGGCAGGAGGAGGCCCCGATAATAATGGTACATCTCGCCGTCGGCTTCGGTGGACTCCCCGGGGTGCGCCACTTCCCAGCGAGTCCAATTCAGCCGTCACTTCAATGATAAGCCCTGGAGGTCCTGTGAAAGGAGAGGGACGGGGAGAGGAGGTGCAAAAATGTGGCACCAAATCTATCGGAACAATTGCAACAAGACCGTCGTCCGACGACTGTAAAACCACACCCTGCGACACGCCGGCGTCCACCCACTAATGTGTGACACGCCGAGGGGAGAGGAGAGAGGGGAAGAGGGAGGGGGGCAGTGGACTACGTGCTGGAAGTGGGTGGACTCAAAATGCTCATCGTGATTACCTCTCCCAGGACTCCCCTTCGAAGACAAGACGCCTCCGCACAGTGCTGCCTGTGTCGGCGTCCCGGCCGAGCAGCCTTCGCACCCTGACAGGGCTATCCCGCATTACCTCACGTGCATGCAAGATGGCAGGCTGATTTTGCATATCGTCTACTGCGCGCCTCGCCCACGCCTGCACGGGAGCTGCGATCGCGCGGGGGCGCCACAAGGCCACCACGACCACTGTCAGCATCTGTGTGGGGCCTGACATGATAGGGACTTGGAAGACATTCTCGAGCCATTGTGAAAAGCCTCTCTCATCCCATGCCAGAAGTTTCACAGCTTCCGCGTACCGGTACACCCGGCAAAACGGCGACGCGTACCACGAACGACACACATCATCGTTGCTGCAAGTGCCGCTGCTGCCGCGCATCTGCGCCCGCGCCACTGCCAGCCCAATGGCGATGCCCACGAGCAGGGCGTACACCAAGGGGAACGGCACCCGTCTCTGCATCGCCGCCTGCGGCTGGGGGGGCGGCGCCGGCGGTGCTGCCAGCTGCTGGGGCGGCGGCAGCGGCGATGTCGCGAGCTCAGGGCCTCACCCGGCGACGCGCGCCAGCAAGGTCTCCATGATCCCTTCCACGACCTGCTCCCTAGCGCGCGGTACCGGTCCGTCGGGCCGGAGCTGCGCGTACAGCGGCTTGATGTCTGCAACCGGGTGTGCGGAGAGCTGCTGCTTCACCTCCGCCCAGGTCGCGGCTCCTGGCGCCACCAAGCTCCGGCACTCCCCGTTCAAGAGCACGCGCGCCTCAGCAACCACGAGTTTCGCCGTCTTGGGTGTGAACTTCTCCGGCTGCCGCTCCCTCGGAGGAGGCGTGCGCGGCGCGCCCCTTGTGCCCCCGGACCCCGGCACGCCCTGGGAGGCGATGGCGTCCTGCACCTCCTGCCGGATCCGCAGCACTTCGGCCTGCCTGCGAAACTCCTGCAGCTCTGCCATGTCTCCGGCCGGCAGACCGGCAGCGTCCTCTCTCTTGCCTTTCTTGTCTTTACGACGGTCCCGGCTCCTGTCCCTTCTCTTGTCTTTCTTTTTCTTTTTCTTTTTGTCCCGGCCCGACGACGTCGACGAGCTCGACGTGGAAGAGGAGCTGTCTCGAGTGTGTTTCTTGCCTTTCTTTTTCTTCTTATCCTTCTTATGTTTTCCGTCCCCCCTGTGGTCGTCCCGAGCTTCCAAGTGCAACAGCTCGAGCCTCTCGAGCCTGTCCAGGCGCCGGTCCGTGTCGTGACTCTGGCGCCAGTCAGCCCTGCCGTACCCGCGGCTGTCCTGGCCGCCGCCGCCGTAGCGCGGCTGCCAGCTGCCGGACCACTGCTCGCCTCGCACCGCGCCTGCGGCGCGCCAGCAGAGGGCCGCCACCACGACAGGGAGGCGGAACATGGATTGCACGCTGCGGCGCGGCAGCGGGTCACGAAACATGGAATGTGGAACGCAGCGGCGCTCAGCGCCCGCCGGCTTGGGCCCACACCGCCTGAACTGCACGGCTGAGCATCCGGCGACGATCTGGGTGCACGGCCGGCAAAGCTCTGAACGCTACCCCCCTGGCCCGTTTGCGTACCCAGCCGGAGTCGCGAAATCCGATGAGGACGGAAATCAGCGCCTCACACCACATGCCGTCATCCAGCGGGACCTCGGCCCACCTGCTGAAACGACCCCGGAGCAGACTAGCGGCGGCGCGGTCGCACAGCCCACGGCGGTGAGATCCGCCAGGCTTTTTCCTTCATGCGCCACGTGTGCCGCAGCGTGTCAAATCTGACGTCCAACCATTGAACCACGCTTGACTGCTGTTCAACATCAAACTTCACGCTGTACGTTCTTTCTACTGCCACGCACAGGCAAGCGTGGCAGTACACCCCAGACGCCCAAAATATGTCATCAACGTACCTGCCTCGCGCAACCTCCTGGTTCCAGCAAGGTGAAGTTGCCGCGAACCCGAGGGACGCACGGCGCTGCGGCGAGAGTTCCCACGCTTCTTCTTCCAACCCCAAGACACAGCTGGATGCGATCTTGGATAGCACTCCGCCGATGGGTAGCCCGCGGAGGCTAAAAACCATGTCGCCCAGCGAGCAGAAGGTGGTAAGCATGCACGCCCCGAACGCGAGAAACAAGTCTGCCATGGCGAAGCAACACGACCCGGCCACCGCGGCTGCGGGAGAACCGCCGATGAAAGCAGCACGGCGCCTCCCAAACTTCACAGTGACCGAATCCTTGCCCGTAGCCTCGACGCACCGGCGCATGACAACGTGCGCTGCCGCCATGGCCTGGGCAGGTGTTACAGCTTCGAAGAACTGGCCCGCGTCGGCGACGAGCCCAACTGACGTTGGCTTGGGGCACCCGCACCGAGCGCAGCTCGCAAGGCCCGACTGCACGCGGGCCGCGCGCATGCGGGCTTCCATGGTGGGACAAGCCGCTTTCAGTGACCACACTTCGTCTCCCCCCCCGTGCGCCTGCACGACAGCTTGCAGGGCACGGTGGATGGACCGCCACCGTTTGCGCCCTGGCCACGACGCGCACGAAACGACCTTCCGGACGCAACTGTGCAAGGGCTTCGAGCACACTTTCCTCCCAGCGCTGAAGCACTTACTCTTAATCGTGGCATAATAATAGGGTAGCACGTGCCGGTATTTAGCGAAGCCCAAGAAACGCTGCAGCGCCGGAGACAGGAGAGAATTGAGCACATGCCAACACCTCGTGTTTGCCTGATCCACCGTCATGGACGTGAGGACCCACGACGGCGCCATCACGGCATACTGCACGAGCAGCCAGAGGTAACAGCCCACAGGCATGCGCCACATGAACTTCTTCTCTTTGTCGTCAGGTACCAGCGCCTCGTGCTCTCCCCGATGCATATCGCTGGTGTAGTCCGCGTATGCACGGGCTGTGCGCGCCCACTGGGCTTGCTCTGCGCGATACACGGGATCGGCAGGCAACTCCTGGGAAGCGCGACGAGCAGCAGCGTTGGCACCGTTCCGGCTGAAGCGGAGACGCCTGCAGGCGTCGAGCACGCAGCGGGACGCACTCTGAGCATCCTCTGCCCTGCTCGTCCTGCACGGGACGTCCCATAGCTTCTCAATCCGCTCCATGCCGCTACCCCCGCACGCGGCAACTTGCGCAGACACTTCATCGCTGAGAACATCAGTCGCTTGGAGCCGCTTGCTCACCGCAACGGCATTCCATTTGTCACAATGCTTTCTCTCAGCCATGCTGACAAAACGCACGTGTTGCTGGAACCAGATACGCTCTGTGCGGTTGAATTGGAACTCGCGCTGGGCCCTGTCCAACACAACACGTTTGATCACGCACTTCATGCAATCCCTTGGGACCCGAACAACCGTGCCCCCTACTGGGGGGAGACAGCGCTCACGAAGGGCGGCGTTCACCCGTCGGGTTGCAAGGAGCCTCCGACCGGGGTCCTGCAGCCGGCCCACGTGCGGGGCTGCCGATGCAGGACCGCAAGCGCTCTGCCATTTGCGTTCCAAGAGGGCCCAGTCGACAGAGCCCGCCTGTGTCCCGCACCACGTAGAGAACAAGGCGGCCCAAGCAGGATTATAGATGTCGATTGGGCCGTGAGTACCATGAACGGCCACTCTGCGCCGCAAAGTGGCGCAGTACTGCTCTTGGAAACTCCCGCGCTCACCAACCCCCTGGGGCAGTGCACGAGACCTGTCACCTCCCTCGGGGCTGTGGGCACGGGAACCATGAGCAATAGCGAGCCGTGCTGGTGCCGAATCGAACGGACCACGACAACATGACTGATTGCCGCGCCTAGCTCGGCACCACTTCGGCGGTCGACCTCGCTTCCGCGACCCTGCCCCCTCTGGCCCTGCTACGCGGTCACTGCCGTCGTGGGCACCCACGTTAGCGGGAGGCCTGCGGGAAGCGATTTCGAGGGTTTCCATGGCGCGCACTCGGGCAGACGGGCCCGCTCTCGCAACGAAGAAAAACGTCTCCTCCAGCCGCAAGCGCCGCATGATGCGGTACCGGAGTTTATCACTGTCTTGCATGTGCCGTCGTGCGAATAGGACGGCGTGTTCTAGCCATCTGCACGCAATGCCTCCCGCGTTGCGCTGCCGCGGGCGGTGCACGTGAGCAATGCCAACGTAATATGACGAGTGCGACATCCAACTATACAGCGCTGTGCAATCTGTCTGTGTGGCTCCATACGTCTCGTGCGCATTGGGCGCACCAGACACTGCGAGCCACTGGAGGTGCACCAAACTGGAAACGGCCCGGGCACGTTCGGACTCAGGCCATTGGGGCGGCCGGTCTTCTCGCCACAACGCCCACCGGCACCGCTCATCTAGCAGCAGGGCTGCTTGGCGTGACCACCGGTGGTTGCGTCGGCCGGCGAGCCATAAGAGAGCACGGCAAGAAGTAAGCAACGCCCACAACGGTTCGACAATGCTACTAGACCGTCTCCACTTCATGTGCGCGGGCAACAACCATTCAGAGCACATGTGGAAGCAACATGAGAACGCCAACCATGTTTTCTCGCCCTGTCGTCGTCGCAACAAGGTGTCGTACGTATCTGTCAACAGTGCCTTCATGAACAAACCCGCACAACGTGAAGCGTTGTCTTGGGGCATTCGGCACAACATGCTACACTGGGGCACGCCGCACGCATCACACACTCGAAGACAATACCGAACAATATCATCCGCACCGCAGCTCTCCCGCCATGGGGCTCGACCGAACAGTGTTGCCAACAGTGCTTCCTCCCGCCGGGAACTGGAACCCCCGCGAGCGCACATGTCCCCCGTCGCAACAGAACACCAGTTAGACTGTAAATGCTATCGCCGGAAATGGGACACGAAGATTAACGAGAATATGAGATATGGATGTGTGGGGCAAGATGCACAATAAGCACAATGAGAAGAAGAATGAAGGACGATCTTTCTCTCACGTGCAGACTGCGCTCCACACGCTCTCGTTCCGGAGGGACGGGCCAGGGTTGCAAGGTAAGCGCCCGCTTTGCTATGGCCATTCCCCAGACCGCCGACGGCGGCCCCTCCGGCAGCTCGGGACGCAGCGGGGGAAGAGAATCTGTCAGATCAGACGGCACGGGAACGAATCTGCCGAACACCCTCGTGCCGACTTCAAGCGAGACGCTGCTTCTTTTTCCCCCTTCCCCCGGCAGATCTCGCCGGGGAGGGACAGGAGGGACGACGGAGCGTGGGGAGGCAGGAGGAGGCCCCGATAATAATGGTACATCTCGCCGTCGGCTTCGGTGGACTCCCCGGGGTGCGCCACTTCCCAGCGAGTCCAATTCAGCCGTCACTTCAATGATAAGCCCTGGAGGTCCTGTGAAAGGAGAGGGACGGGGAGAGGAGGTGCAAAAATGTGGCACCAAATCTATCGGAACAATTGCAACAAGACCGTCGTCCGTCGTCCGACCGTCGTCGAACGACGACGACGGCAACAACGACGACGACGACGACGACGACGGCGACGACGGCGACGACGACGCAGTGCCACTTTCGGGCGAAATCGGCACGGCGCTCATGGCAAGAACAGCGGGCGATGCCAGGCTCCATCGACGTCCATCGCGCCGGTTGGCGTCGCCAGGCCCTCTGGGAAGACGTCTTAAACCGCCATGTGGGTCTGGACAGGCGCCGGCGAGCTAAGCAAGACGATTGGGGCAAGTCGGCCGACGATTTCATCGCGAGTGTTATGGACGATGCCGGGCTCAATGGAACAAAGTATATGCAACGTTGACGTGTTCAACGGGCGCGAGTCGACCATGAGCGAGCAGCGCAGCGACGGGCCCGACCGTTCACCCCACACGTCGTGCAGTGGCGACCGGAGCCGAGCATCAAGCCGGCAGGGACGAGCATTCAGCCATTCCGATTTACGATCGGCATCCGGGGTGACAACCAGACCGTCGTCGAGTGGATCCACGAGAGGTGGGGCTGCTTCAATCCCAGGCACGGGCCGCCGCTCTGGCGGGCGATGCGCGTCCTGCGGGAGATGTGGGCCTCAGGAGTTGCCACCACGGCGGAGGCAGGTGGCGACTGGGTCCGCCACGAGCGTCGTGAAGGCAATGTTGTTGCAGACGAACTGGCGGGGAGAGCTGCCAGACTGCGCCGCACAGAGTACCACTCGAACGGTTTCGCTGTCCGTCGCTTTCAGGCGCGAGGACGTCCTATTTACCTACGCTGTTCTTTCGACGGGAGCTTGAAGGGCCCAGCATGCCGGAGCAGGGTGCTCAATCTACATTTGGCTGCAGGATGGCGTGTGGCACCACTGGCAGACAGCATCGATCTATCTGGGCCACGTCACGTCGACGACGGCGGAGCTGGTCGCCGCGGCTACCCTGATCGACTTTCTCGGCAAGATTGCGTCATGTCGCACGTTCGCCGCCATCGCCAACATCAAGTGGGAGGGCCAAAATACCGACCGCCAGCAGCGCGGCGGCGCACGTAGGCGCCAGGCGAACTCAGCGATTTGACGCCATTCACCTCCGGATGATACGGGAGCCGTAATCCAAAAAATGGTCGTCGTCGCTGTCGTCATGGTCGTCGTCGCTGTCGTCGTGGACACGGCTCGGGCGAGGGCGACGCTTCGCCCGCTCGCGAGCTGCCCCGCTTCCCAGCGACTGGGCGAGCGAAGAGTGCGCACAGTGTGCACAGCACCCCGGCGCGTGCGCCACTGTCAGGTAAAATCTGCGCGGCGCTTCGGGGCTGGAGCGATACCTCGCTCCCTCGCGCGCGACACCGCCACCGACGAATCGGCGAGCGAAACATGCGCGCCGCGCCCGAGCGGGCACTCAACTCTCAGGGAAAATTTGCGTGGCGCCAGGGCGAGGACGGTATGTCGCACGCTCGTGCGCGATGTGCGCCGCGCCCCACTTTTGCCACGCATCCGGCAGCGTCGACGACAAAGCGTCCACTTTGAAAGGTCCAACGCCGACGTTGCACTGGTCTTGGACGGGTACGATCACGAACGTTTCTTTAGCGCGCCGCGCCGCTGTTTCTGGCCCACCACGCTTCGACACAGGTGGATGTCGTAGCATGCCATAGCATTACATGGCACAGCATGGTGTTGAAGATCAACGCGTAGCATGACATAGCATGGCATGGCGACGCCCCAAAGTGGGGGGGGCTTCTGCGGCGCAGAATATCAACGAATCGTCACTGAATGTGGAATCACCTCCGATGGTTCGTTTGGGAGAGCATTTCCTAGAGTTTGGAGCCTATTTGGAAGGACCGAAACCATGCCGTGGCATGGCAGTGGAAGTAACGACGCCAGCGCTGCAGCGGAAACACGGTCTCGGAACGAGCGGAAGCGCGGAAATGAGGCCAGCGCGGCAGCGGGAGCACGATTCGGAGGACGCGGAGCCTGACATAGTATGGCGTGGCGACGTCCCAAAGGGGGGGGGGCTCTGCGACCCAAAACATCATCGAATCGACACCGAATGTGTATTCACTTCCGATGGTTCGTGCGGGAGAGGATTTCCTAGATGTTGGAACCTATTTGGAAGGATCGAAACCATGCCGCGGCATGGCACTAGAAGTAATGACGCCAGCGCTGCAGCGGGAGCACGATTCAGAACGAGCGGAAGCGCGGAAATGAGGCCAGCGCTGCAGCGGGAGCACGATTCGGAGGACGCGGAGCCTGACATAGTATGGCGTGGCGACGTCCCAAAGTGGGGGGGGCCCTCTGCGACCCAAAACATCAACGAATCGGCACCGAATGTGTAATCACTTCCAATGGTTTTTCTGGGCTGGCATTTTCTAGATTTGGGAGTCTATTTGGAAGGACCGAAAACCATGCCGTGGCATGGCGCTGGAAATAATGACGCCAGCGCTGCAGCGGAAACACGGTCTCGGAACGAGCGGAAGCGCGGAAATGAGGCCAGCGCTGCAGCGGGAGCACGATTCGGAACGAGCGGTGGCCCGAAATTGAAGCCAGCGCCTCAGCTAGAGCAGCATTTTGAACAAAAACGCTAAGCGAAAACCCGTTACCCGGGAATCTTGTGTATAAAAAACGAGTACGCGGAGGTAGTGCGTAATTGTAGAAGCGGCAGGCCGGAGCGAGGGGGTGGACGGAGAGAGTGAAGGGGGGGGAGGAGGACGATGAAAGGGGCACGGCAGCAGAGGAGGACGCAGACGACGACGGCGGAGGGGGTATGAGAGGAGCGCGGTTGCCAGGGGGGGGGGGGCGGAGCTCGGCCGTCGCGCGCCTGGCCGCGCAGGCGAGGACGTGGGCTGGTCGTTCGCAGTGGACGCGGGGAGCGCGGACACCTGCCGCCTCCGTGACGCCCCGATCCCCTCCCTCCGCTTCTTCCTCATCCTCCTCTTCCTCCACCTCCTCCTCCTCTTCCTCCTCCTCCTCCAAGTCAACTCGTCGTCAGCATCGTCATCATCAGCAGAGCAGCATCATAACCATCATCATCATCATCATCATAATCATCATAATCATCACCATCATCATCATCATCAGCATCATCATCACCATCAGCATCCGTAGCCATTTTGGTTCAAGGTTATAATGTACCTCGGCATTATAGCCTTGTTCGCAGCCGACGGGGAGGCCCGAGCGACTACCAGGGAGGCGCCTGGACTGTTCCTCCCACTTCGCTCTTGTCGGTTCCAAGTCACTCAGATCTTCACTGAGCAATGGCCATGACCAGTGTTCAGATGCAGGCGATGCTCAACACTCTTCAGCTGGAGCTCGGCAGGAAGATGGATGCCGCGCTGGCCGCCACTGGTCTGAAGTTTGACAACCTGATGGGCCTCCACGACGGCCTGTCTGGTGAAATGAAGACCATGGAGGCCAAGTTCGACCAGAAGGTTGCCGAGATCAACACGTCGTTGGGGGAGCTACGTTCGCAGGTCAATGCGTCACGTGCGGCGAGCTCATACGCGCCGTCCAGTGATGGCTCAACGTCGGGCTTCACTCGTATGGCTGGCGGAGATGGCAAACTTCGGCGTGGAGAAGCTAGACCAAGTGATCCATGCAAGAGGTTCATCGGCACCTTCCCTCGTACCTTGTTGGGCAAAGAGATGGAGACGCACTGGAATACCAAGGTATTGCCACATCTGCCGCGGGAAGTGGTCGAAGGCTGCAACGCCAAATTCTCGGGGTCGGCGAAGAGCTATCAACTTGTCTTCACCAACGAGCTCCTGGCGAAACGCTTCCAGGATCTCATCTCGGAGGCAGACATCGACTGGGTTGATCGTCGCACTCGGGTCTCTCATAACATTCGCAGTCGCGCAGATCTGCCAGTGGATGTTCGTTCAAAACAGCGTGCTGCCTCCGCCATCTACGGCAAGCCCTTTGAGCTCCTGAAGGCCGGCCCTCATGGGGATGCGATGGCCCACTGCAGGCTGGGCGTCAACGGCTACCAGGGCCTCATCAATTTATACACGGACGATGAGGTTTGGGAATTATTCACGATCCGTGGCAACGAGCAGTTCGGCTACAGCTTCGATCCCAACACGACGAACCTCGAGAACTGGGGCGTGAACAGAGACAAGGTTGAGGAGATGCTTGCGTCCATCGCGAAAGACCCGCGGCTTTTTGGCAACTAGAAGAGGCTGCTGATGCACCACCTACCACAGAAGATCGACCTGACCATTTTGGTCCATGCACGGCTATGGGGAGCTGTGCTGCATCCTCTACTCCTTCCTCCTCTTCGGCGTCGGCTTCGACTGCGGCTACGAGTAGCCCTGAGGCCGACAGTGACAGGCAAGCGCGTGCTCTTCGCTCTGTGCCCTTTGCCCCCTCCTCCTCTCTGTCTCTAGTGACCTGGAATGCCCAGGCTCTTTTTGGCAGCGTGCATGGTGAGCATAGGATTATAACTAATAAATGTAAGCAGTTGCATAGGCTTACTAAACAACACGATATAGTGGTTATTCAAGAATATCATGGCGATGCTACTGATACTGATACCCTCATACGTAAGCTTCCTTATCATCGTGTATTCCCGTCTTATTGTCCTAGTGCTGCTGCTGGTGGATGCCCCACGATCGTGCGCGAGCGCGTGTGCGATATGTTGAAGCAGCTCTGGCTTGAAGAGGTTGTCCACGGCAGGCTTACTACTCTCCACACGCGGTCTTGCGAGCAGGCTATGGCAGCAGCAAGTGTGCATCTGGATCCCACTCTACCCTTCTCCCACAAGAAAGCGTTCCTTCAGCAGCTGAACCGTCGCCTGCCCCCACCGACCCGCTGTGCTAACTATATCCTGGGTGATTTCAACGTTTCGGAAGTTGGGGGGGGGGGTCCGACAACGTCTGGATGGCAAAGCTGAAAAATGAAACTCTGGCGTGGCTAGGTTTTCCTCGGAGCAGCTTCCTGGATATACTGAGATGTGCCAAACGGACCCCACCCATAGGACATACCACCAGTGCCATATCACGTCTGTTGCCCGTCTGGACAGGATATATTATTCATTGTATGATGAAGAGATTATCGACCTGCGTCCTCTTGCAGGAGTATCGCGCGGGGCCTTTGACTGCCATCTTCCGAGTGACCATGCCCCTGTATGTTGTGCACTGCGGCATCCTGAAGTTAGATGTGCTCCGCGAATTCCGTCGCGGGTGAGTCAATCGCCCCTTTTTGCTGAGTGGCTTGAAGCAGAGCTTCGCGAAGTAGATCTGTCTACGCACCCGCCGACCCGCCTGGAGGAGGTGAAAACCCTTATGTTTTCGGTTTCCATGAGAGTTCAGCGGAAGAAAGAGATTCTGGGGCCTGAGACCGACCTGGAAAAAAATAGTTGGTGTTTAGCTCTGGTCCGAGGGGTTCGGCATGGACAAACGCGTTTGGCCCAGAGGGCGGCGGCTGCGTATCAGGTGTTACAGCAATTTTGCCGTTCGGAGGCGTGGGGGTGGATTGATCGGGAAGGGCTTCATCTTCATTTTGCTTCTCTTTATTCTCGGCACTATAACAGGATGGAGGAGGAGATTCTGAATTCACCAGTTCCATTTAAAGTTCGTGACGGGCGGGTTGCTCGCATTCGTGAGCTTGCTGCGGCATGGCCTCCATCGCACAAGCGCGCCACTCTACAGGCGATTGCGGACCAGTTTGGCGCCCAGCATCATGACCTGCAGATCTGCGCTCGCATCCTTGCTCGTTACTGGGGGGAAGTGTCTGCGCACCAGCCTGTTGCAGCGGATCGTTTTCCCCGATATCTTGCTCATGTTCAGCCTGCCCCTTCTGATGTGCAGTGGCAGGTCTCATTCACGGACTTTCAAGATCTTCTTGCCAAATGTCGTGATTCGTCCCCGGGTTTGGATGGAGTGCCCTATAGTGCTCGGCAGAACGGAGGTGACCTTGCCCAGCTAGTTTTGTTCGGTATGTATCTATTCGTCCGTGAAGGCAACCCCGTTCCAGCCACGCTCGTGGAGAGCATTGCTGTTTTTCTTCCTAGGGGGGGACCTCGGGGATCAACTTGAACAGGTTCGTAATCCTGAAGCCACGCGTCCTCTTGCCTTGTCTAACACCGACTGCAAGGTCATCGCCGCCTGTCTTGCCTGGCCGATGGCGGACTATGCCGCTCGCTGTGTCCACCAATGTCAACGTGGCTTTGCGCGCGGCCGCCAGCTGCTGGACAATGTGTTTCACTTAGACGCGCAGCTATTTATGTGGTCAGTCTTAGAGGGGAGCCGCGATGCAGGAGCAGCCTGCCTGGACGTGAAGGCGGCCTTTCCTAGTATTTTGCACGAGTGGATCTTTGCAGTCTTGGAGGCAGCCCAGTTTCCTTCGTGGTATGTTCAAGCGGTGAAGAATCTGTATTATGGTATTCGTGTTCGGGTCCGCTTCCGCGGGCGCCAGGACCAATGCTTTTCCTTGGGGCGTGGAGTGAAACAGGGCTGCCCAATGTCAGGTGTTATCTTCGCTGTGGCCACAGATTGTATCAACAGATATGTACTTCAGTGTCTGAGGAATGACTTGTCTGACTTCCTGGTCTTCGCTGATGACCAGGGCGTAGTCGCGCACAACACCTTTGTCGTGATTGCTAAAGTCCTTCGTGAGCTCGCACTTGCTTCCAGGGTTGCTGGTGTATATATATATATATATAAAAACAAAAAACAACAAAAAAAAAAAAAAAAAAAAAAAAAAAAAAAAAAAAAAAAAAAAAAAAAAAAAAAAAAAAAAAAAAAAAAAAAAAAAAAAAAAAAAAAAACGCACATTGTTCTTCCTCGGGCTTTGTTCTGGACGAGGTGCGTGAGAAGTTTAGGGTTCATGGGCTCCTGGCCGAAAGATTCAAAATCGCGCAGGCCGCGAAGTACCGAGGTACACACATAGGCTTGAATGCGAGGGAGCTCTCTTGGGCCAAGCCAATTCAGGAACATCAAAAACGCTGCCGTCACACTCGTGGTCTCCAGCTCGGCCTAAGTATGAGCATGCTGACGTATAACATCTTCACCCAGCCTGCGTTGAGCTTTGTTGCCCAGTGCCACACCGTCACGAACAGCGTGCTGAAGCGGAGCGAGAAGGGCTTCAGTTGCCCACAGCTGCTCCGAGACACTCCTTCAGCCCCGAGATGCTATACCAGCTCAAGGACTTTGGGCTGTCTCACCAACCTCGCCCGGTTGCCGCTGTTGCCCGCGCTGCCTTACGCCGTGCAGATCTTCGGAGCGAGGCCTTTCAGAAGCGGCTGCAACAATTTGAACAGATCTTGGCTGGAACGAACTGGGTGGTTGCGTATAGATGGATGCCGTTTTCTCGGGACTCGGTCTCCTTCCAGGTGATGAATCAGCTTATTATTCTGGAGGCTCAGGTTGACGTGTTCCAGGCTCAGGACCAAGACCTCCAGGCCAAGATCTTCTCTAAGGTAGTGGCAAAAGTGCACGTCCCGCCTACCAGTCTCTTGCTTTCTAGGCTTCGGTGTTGGAATTCCCAGGCGTCTATGACCCAAGCTGATCGGATTAGGCTTCAGATCAATATCCTCGCTTCGAAACTCCCCGACTCGTGCACTGTCGCTACGCTGAAAGCGCTCGTTAACGCATGGCCCACCACTCGTCGTTATCGCCAGGGAGCCCAAGCACGTCGATTCGGATGTCACGCTGCGGGAGGCGATTCTGTAGAGCACTACGTGAGTTGCCCCATAATTCGTCCTGTGCTCACCCGCTGCCTTCCGTTCCTCCCTGCAGAGTGGGGAGACGGGGATCACTTGTCTGCTCTGTTCTTTGCCGATCTTCCATACCCGTCCAATTCTCGTATATGCTCGATTGCCATCGCTTTTGACCTCCTCTTTTCTGCGTCCAACTCCCTCCGCACTCGTCACATCGTGTCGTCGGAGGTAGGGGCGCGCGCGCTCGAGAGCCGACGCAGAGCGCTCAGCACCAGCTCCCGAGTTGTGCGGCTGCTGGCACAGGGGCGGGACCCGTTCCAGCAGTTCGTGCAGGCCGCGTAGCTCGCTTTGTGCCGCCGCTGCCGCGCTGCCGCGGTCGTCACCTGCCGTCCGCCGAGTGCTGATCATCATCACCGTCAGCATCAGCATCAGCATCATCACCGTCATGATCACCATCGCCATCATCATAATCAGCATCACCATCATCACCACCATCATCAACCTTAGCATCTTAGCATCATCAGCATCACCAACAGCATCATAATTATCGTTATCGCCATCATCACAAGCACCATCATCAGCATAAACATCATCAGCAGCATCAGCATACTCATCAACATCACAACACCAGCATCACCATTATCAGCATCAGCATAATCATCAGCATAGGCAGTGTCATCATCATCACCCTCATCAGCACCATCACCATCCTCATCATCATCATCATCGGCATAATCATCATCAGCAGCAGCAGCAGCATCATCCCCATCATCATCATCATCGGCATACGCATCATCAGCAGCAGCATCAGCATCATCACCATCCTCATCATCATCATCATCATCGGCATAAGCATCATCAGCAGCAGCATCAGCATCATCATCATCAACAGCATCACCAGCATTACCATCATCATCACCAGCATCACCATCAGCAGCATCAGCACCAGCATAAGTATCGTCATCACCATCAATTTCATCCTCATCATCACCCTCATCAACATCATCATCGTAGTCAGACGCATGATCATCGTAAGCATCACAACTCATCAACATCATCATCATCGACATCAGCATCACCACCACCACCACCATCTTCATCATCATCATCAACATCATCTACAGCATCGTCATCACCATCCCTATCCCCATCATCGCCAGCAGCAGCATCATCAGCATCGTCGTCATCGTCATCGTCATCGGCATTGTTGTCGTCGTCAGCATCAGCAGCAGCAGCCGCAGCATCATCGTCATCGTCATCATGAGCGCGATCATCCTCAGCATTATCATCATCACCATCATCAGTATCATCAGCATAATCGTCATCATCATCGTCGTCGCCGGCGTCAGCAACATCATCATCACCATCGTCACCACCAACAGCATCATCATCGTCATCATCATGAGCATGAGCTTGATTATCATCATCAGCATCATCATCAACATCATCATCAACATCATCCACATCCTGCTCCCCCACTCGGCACCAGCAGCATAATCATCAGCAGCATCTTCTCACGCGTTCTTATCATCCCTGCTTCTCCTCATCCTCGTGCTACTCTGGTTTCCTGACTCCCTCCTCCGTCCCTCCTCCTTCCCTCCTCCTCCTCCTCCTCCTCCTCCTCCTCCTCCTCCTCCTCCTCCTCCTCCTCCTCCTACTCCTACTCCTACTCCTACTCCTCCTCCTTCTCCTTCTCCTTCTCCTCCTCCTCTTCCTTCTCCTCCTCCACCTCCTCCTCCTCTGTCACCCTCATGAACAGAAGTTCCCTCATCCGCTTACTCTGTTGCATCATCCTCCACATGTTCCTCCTCACTGCGTCCCTTCCTCATCATCCTCCATGTCCTCATCCACCCTCTCCTCTGCCCTCCTAGTCTTTCCTTATCAGTCTCGTTATGTACCTGCGTCGAAGGTTTACCGCGCATGCCATGAGGGATCCAGTGGTGATTCACTCTTGCGACCCAGGGGTATGCAGTGAGGAGTGCACGTTGGCAGTTGACACATCATGAACAGCTCTTCCATGGCAAGTGAGTCTTTCTACCCGTCTTGGTCGCACTCGCGCACGAGAGCACAAGGACATCGGGCTCGCTACTCCAACTCTCGGCCCCGCCCTCGGCTGGGCCTCCGATCCACTGCAGGGCCCCGACCGCTACCGCGACCGATGCTGCTCCTTATCCTAGGGCTGGGGGATGTGGCATCAACTACGCGACGTTCGTTCAAACAGTTGGACTTGCAGTTGTTCGGCAGATGTTCTTCGCGCTCGGGAGCGCGGCTCTGACTTGCCCTGCGCACATCCAGGAAGCAGCGCGGGGAGAAATTCCTCCTGCCCCCCATCGGTCCGGTCTGGTGGTGTCTGTTCTGGCTTGGACTGGAGTGAAATGGTGTCGTCTGGTCTGGCCAGGTCTGGGGGAGGGGAGACAAGAAGGAGGTGAAGGAGAAGGACAACGACAAGGATGAAGAGTTGGGGGTGTGGCGAAGTGGCAGCAGCAGGTTAACCATGCGGCGGGGAGGCGAGGATGGAGAAGACGGAGGAAGAGGAGGACGACGAGGAGGAGGAGGAGGAGGGAGAAAAGGAGGAGGAGGAGGAGGAGGGGGAAGAAGAAGAAGAAGAAGAAGAAGAGGACGAGGAAGAGGAGAGAGAAAAGGAGGAATGAAGAGGGAGGACCGTGCGGAAAGATGTGATTGCCGACTTGTCCACCCCCCCTCAACCCAGAAGTCCGAGGCTTCAGCGTCCGCTTCTTCCCCGACGCAGCGGACAGCCCCGCCGTGGAGGCCAAGGCTTATGAGGACTGGCCCGGTGTTCGGGGGGTCGGGGCGCTCGTTCTGCTGTTGTTCCTCCTCCGCCAGTCCGCGCCTCATAGCCTCGACAACGACGCTTTCCCCCGACGGCGAGCCTTTCGATCGCGAAGGCCGCGAGGCTTGCTGCGGGCCTCCCGGCCAGAGAGAGGAGAGGCCCCTCAGCAGCAGAGGCAAAGGCAGGAGCGGAGGAGACCTCTTGGTTGACGCCCCGCCTCCGCCCACTTCCGCCCCCCGCCCTCTCGGTGCCCAGATTTGCTCTCCCCCCTCGTCGTGGCCCGTGCTCTCTTTGGGCGCCAGCGCGCTGGAAGTGCGGGAGTCAGACGAGGGGGGCGCCAGGGGGAGGGGATGGGGCGAGGCGAGGAGGGACGAGGAGAGGTGACGAGTCCGAATGCACAATGGCAGGCCAGGGCAGGAAGAGGGGGAGGAGGCGTGAGAGGAAGAGGAGGAGGAGGAAGAAGGGGGGAGGAGGAGAAGGAGAAGGAAGAAGAAGGAGCGAGGTGGGGGTAGTGATTGAGGAGGCTGGGGAGGAGGTGAGGAGGGGAGGGTGAAAGGGGGAGGAAGAGAGGAGGAAGAATAATTCGACAGCAAAAAAGAGGAGGGAGCAGGGAGGAGGTGGCGATGGCAGACGCGGCACTGCAGCAGCCTGCGGGCCGTTCACTGCTAAACTCACCTCCCGTCGGTCAGGGGCAACGGTGCTCTTATGTCGAAGGCCATCCCTCGAGGCGAGGAGGTGCACCCGGCTCCGAGCTGGAGCTTGCCACGGGGCACCAGGTGCACCCTGCACAGGACCAAGAGGCACGGGCGGCGAGGGCGTGGCGTTAGCCTCAATAGCGAAAGAGGGAGGAGATGGAGGAGATCGAGCAAGTAGGAGGAGGGGCAGGAGGAGGAGGAGGAGGAGGACGGGGGAGAAGGAGGAGGAGGAGGAGGAAGCGATGGAGGAGCCTCAAATGCGAATAGGGAAAGAGCGAGGGAGGGAAGAAGCAGCAACGCAGCATGACGCGGAAGCAATACCGTGGCTCCAGAGGGATCAGCTAGACCTGTGGTATACACGACGTCAGGCTAGCCAAAGTATTGGCGATCGCCATGTATGGATAAGGCTACTGGACGGGTCTAGTATTGAACGCTGCAGGGTCCAACTCGGATATGGTGATGATCAGGTCGAAACGACCTCGTAATCATCTACATTGCATACGGACCAGAAGATCCGCCATACAAAATGTGATGAGCAGGTCGACGACCAAGGGAGGAGGGAGGAGGGAGAAGGGAGGGACATCGAGAACGAGGACGAGGACGGGGACGAGGAGCTGCAGGAGGCGGAGCTCCGACCTCCGACGTCGGCACACGCACGAGGTCGTGCGTACGAGGCGGCCCCTGCGTTCGCCCAAGGTCGAAGGCTTACAGAACGCCCACCCCGTCAGGTCGATCCGCGAATGGCACCGTGTTGGTTCTCGAGGGGGCGTGGCGACCGCAGCGTGTATGGGCCTGCGCCCGCCGGTTTTGGTTCTGGGCCGTTTTCGGTGCAAGGCGTTTTGTTGAACGGGGTTCTGTTCACCTCCGACCGGGTGTTCGCAGGAAGCTGGCCGTACAGTCCGCCCACATTGCAAGGATGGGCAACCTTCCCAAGAGTACCCTTGCATCCTTGCCCCTTCGGCCAATCCTTAGCGACTTTCACAGGCCAACCTCGTTCGAAAAACGTAAACTTGGCCCTCCAAGGCCCTTGCATCCTTACCGCGCATCCTCATGATACGGGTTGGCTGTAGCGTGTTCTCAATACTCTCTTTGGCTGCGGCCGAGGGGCATCATGCAGAGGAGAGGGGGGGAGAGTGGGCACGCCTACTTCGTTCGCTGCGGGAGCGCTCGCTTCTCCAGGTCTCGTCCAGATTTTGTGGCTTCGAGCATTTGATGCGTGGCCTGTACGGGACATGGTGCCGCAAGCAAGTTTCTTTGAATCGCTCGTTCCATCCAAGTGATGAGCTCCTCTGCGCCCAAAGCCACCACTCGCACACAGATGTGATCTACCAGCGATCATGTGCAAGTCGACGCGACGTGTTGATCCCAGTGTTGTTACGTGTCCTTCTCGACTTCTAGTTCCCGCTGAATCATAGGCATCGACGCCACCATGTCCCCCGATGTTGCGGCCTGGCCCGCCGAGGATGTAAGTGGCAAGGTGTCTGGGGAGTTCCTTGCACGGGAACCTGGGACGTGCGCAGGCTTAGCTCGGTCGTGGTCTGCGATGTGCTTGCCTTGATGGCGGATATGGTGCATTTCCGTATCAGACACGTGCAAGAGCAAGCACGACAGATGGTATATATAGACAGATGTGTTTAAAGATGTGCGTCTGATTGAGTGTGTGTTTGAGTACGCGCGCGTATGTACATTTTGATGACCTGCGTTGAATGATCCTCGTCCCGATGTTCGCCATCATTATGTTGAGTTGCCTGGTGTGCCTTATTTGCGATGCTGGTGTACACTCGTTGGCTGGACGCGTTTGTCCTGTTTGACTCTCAGTGGCACCATGGGTAATGCAATGTTATCAGCATTCGCTCAACTTGTCGTTTCCGCCGATGCGTTGGTCGATGTGTCTACGTGTGCCTTATATCTGCATTGCCTGCGCGCTCTTTCAATAACGCATCCAGTCCACGATCAAACGTATGATACGTCGCCGTGCCGTTCGTTCTGGTTCCATCCGGACTTAGGAGGTGTAAGTACGAGTAGCAGGCTGTGTTTGTAGCGTTGAGCTCTGAAAGACACTGCTGGGCGAGGCTTACGGCATTGCGCATCTACCAACGGCCACTTGGTACGACCCGAAAGCAGAGGAAAAGCTGCACAATCACAAAGCCCCCCGGAGCCACGGCAGGACTGCCAGCAGAAGGATCAGAAAGACCTAGCTCGCCTGTGGCAGGTCGGCTCGAGCAGCGTCCCTGGCTCACCTGGCCGCCACACCCCTGCGGGGCCCCCTCTCCCTGCGGCACCCGTGTGGGAGAGCTGCTGCGCTGTGCCCGCAGAGCTGCGGCCTCTGGCCAGTGGGGCTGTGCCTCCGTGGGCGGGACGACGCCGCGCGGCCTGGCCCACCGGGGCCGCAGGCGGAGCGCCCTGCGGGGCACAATCCGCGTGGAGGGCGGGTCTGGCCGAGGTGGGCGGGCGCTGCGCGGCCGCCCACCGAGAGCCTCCGCGCCTGGCCCACCGCGGGGGCGCCGCCGCCGCCGCACGACGACGACGACGCCGCCGCCGCACGACGGAGACGACGACGACGCCGACGAAGCCGCCGCCGCCGCCGCCGCCGCACGAGGCCGACAACGACGCCGACCTCCCAGATGGCCGAGGGCGGGTCTGGCCGGGTGGCCGAGGTGGACTCACCAAAGATGATGAAATACACCCTCCCTCCCAGATCCTGCTAGGGGACATTTCCGCTGAGGGCATCGTCCCGTTGGCGGACAGCCGTATGACCAATCGTAAAGCGTGGCCACGAGAACCGTTCTCAGGACTTCACAACGCCACGAGTTAGCCTGACTGTTCCGATCTTGATTCGTGTCAGAACACCATTGTTGGGACTTCAACACATCGAATATACATAACTGCTGTGCCCTGACCATCTTGAGTCGTTCCGAACACCGTTTCTGGCACGTGAACCCTGAGTACCAATGCCATTCTTGCAATTGTGTAACGAATGCGCGCGGCGCTCAGCAGAGAGCCACATGTTGAAAAGGAAGCGCCCTCGATCCGCGAAACTCTTGCACATGTGTCAAGCGAATTTGCGCGGTGCTAAAGCGAGAGCCACATTTTGGAAGCGACCTGCCCCCGATCCGCGAAACCCTTCACATGTTTTAAACGAATGCGCATGGCGCTGAGGCGAGAGCCAAGTTTTGAAAACCAACCGCCCTCAATCTGTGAAACTACTGCAAGTGTTTAAAACGAGAGTGCGCGGCGCTAGGGCGAGAGCCACATGTTGAAGACGACCCGCCCTCAATCCGTGAAACCCTTGCACATGTTAAAGCGAGAGCCACATTTTGAAAACGACCCGCGTTCAATCCGCGAAACTCTTGGAATGCTTTGGAACGAGTGTGCGCGGCGCTAAGGCGAGATCCACATTTTGAAGACGACCCGCCCTCAATCCGTGAAACCCTTGCACATGTTTAGAAGTGGGCGTGACCGGCGCTAAGGCGAGAGCCACATTTTGAAAACGACCCGCGTTGAGTCGGTGAAACGTTTGCAACTTGTTTTAAGAATGTGCGCGGCGCTAAGGCGAGAGCCACATTTTGGAAGCGACCCGCCCTCCATATGTGAAGAGGTTGTCAATGTTTAAGCATCAGGGCCATGAGCAGTAAGGAAGTCTCAGGCGAAACGCCCGGCCCGCCCTTTCGACCGGCCTGGGGGTGCAAAAGGAGGAGTTATCTAGAAGGAAAAGGAATGAAGGAGAAGGAGGACGACGACGAGGACGAGGAAGAGGAGGAGGATGGTGGCTACATCTGGAGGATTTTGCAGCCGTCAGGAATCAGGAACCAGGAGGAGGAGGAGGAGGAGGAGGAGGAGGAGGACAAGGAGGAGGAGGAGAGGGGTGAGGGAGAGGAGGAGGAGAGGGGGAAGGAAAGATGGAGAAGCGCTGCGCTGCTGGTTGAAGACGAGGGCCTAACAGCACCAGGGGGGTCAGGGACAACTACATAACTTGGGATTGGCAAGCGAGCCATCGTTGTCACTCAACAACATGGACGCGGTGGACAAGCATCCGAGCAGTTCGAAAGAGAAAGAGAGAGAGGAGAGAGAGAGAGAGAGAGAGAGAGTTACAGTCGGAGCCCTGAAGAAGGAACCTTTTTCGTTGGGGAGGGGCTCCGTGTTCCTTGATTGTTTCAAAGTTTGCCTTGGGTTTTCCTGAGGGTTCCACGGGAAATCGAGTTTGAACTTATGGGAAAAAGGAGCCTCGTTCCTTATCTGGGGTTCCTTGGGTCAGCGCCCCGACTGTAGGGGGGGGTGCGCCGAAAAGAGAGGGAGAGAGACAGAGACAGAGAGAGGCAGAGAGAGGCAGAGAGAGAGGCAGAGGGAGAGAGAGAGGGGGAGAGAGAGAGGCAGAGAGAGAGAGAGACAGAGACAGAGGGAGAGAGAGAGGCAGAGAGAGAGAGAAGCAGAGAGGGAGAGAGAGAGGCAGAGAGAGAGAGAGAGCAGAGGAGGCGAGATCGCAACACGTCGGGCCGCATGCCAGCCCCAGCCCCCCTGGCCACGGGGGCGCCGGGCAGGCCTGCCTCGCCTTCGCGGGAGCCGCCGCACGTGCACGAAGGGGCCCTGGGACACACGAATAAACACACACAAATAACATGATTCCCCATACTTTCCCATATGTTCTGGGTTTTTGTCTTCCCCCCCACGCTTCCCATATTTTCCCATATTTTCGGGGGAATCGACGATGCATCGTGTCTGTGTGTGTGCTTCTTCCCTCCTGAGTGTAACAGGGGCGCCCGGCTCATATCCCCCTGGCACGGTCGCAGGGGCCCCGTCTGGAAGAAAGGGCGGGCGGCGGTTATCGGACCGCTATGGTGAAGTCGGGTCTGTCCCTCTACAGGGGGAAGATTCGAAAAAATTGCACAAATAGCCTGGAGACGATCATTTTTGAAGCATGCTGTTGTTTTGCATGAGTGTTGACGAAGATTCATTTGTCCTCGAGACTCAGCCTCTGTAGGGGGACAGGCCCGACCTAACGCTGGTGGGTCCGTCTGCGCGCCCGTGACGAAACAGGGGGGCACCGGGCTTTCCGCACGCTTTGGCATGCGCACCTCGGCGGCCAGGGGAACGGAAAGGCGCCGCCCTGGGGCGTCACACGCCGCAGCGGCCCAGGGAGAGCGAGCAACGGCTCAGGCGCCAACCGTGCTCGTGGTCTGTGGGAAGGGGGAGGGGGTCCAGCATTAAGTCGGGCCTGTCCCTCTACAGGAGGGATATTCAAAAATGGTCAAAGAATGGTCTGGGGACGATTGTTGTACTAAACATGTTTGGAAAATGTTCTGCGTGTTTTCAATGTTCGCGCAACATCCCCCTGTAGGGGGACAGGCCCGACCTAAGTCCAGCATTGGTGTGCCGCCCGTTGACTTGGCATCGCTCGGACGTGTGCAATTTTTTTTCGGCGAGGACCATCGAGGAGCATCCTTGATCATTTGGCGAAAAAACCACGCACGAAACCGAAAAAAACACAGGGAATGGACGTCCGAGCGATGGCGAGTTGATCGTCGAAGGAGGCTTGGAGGTTGGCGGGGAGGGCTGCCCCCATAGCGACTGCAGGCCGAAAGGCCGCTCCAGGCCTCTCCTGCGCTCGGCCGAGCCTGTCGATCAAAGGCGCTGAGTGCTCTGCTCCTCCTCCTCCTCCTCCTCCTCCTCCGCCTCCTCCTCCTCCTCCTCTCCTCCTCCTCCTCCTCCTCCTCCTCCCCTCCTCCTCTCCTCCCCCTCCCCCTCCCCCTCCCCCTCTCACTCCCCCTCCCCCTGCCTCCTGCGCTCGGTCGAGCTCGTCGATCAAAGGTGCCGAGTGCTCTGGTGAGCGCCAGAGGGAGTGCGCCAGCCGGTTGGCTCGATGACGTGGCGATGGCACACTCCAGATTTCGTAATAAAGGGAGGGGGGTCTCATTTCGGCGGGGGTCTCTTCCAGGCTATCTTGGAGGGCCTGGGGGGGTCTGGGGACGATGTTTTGGAGGGTTCTCCACGGGGGAGGTCTGAAATGGCTTGTCTTGGAGGGTCCAGACCCCCTCCCTTTTATTACGAAATCTGGAGTACCGGCGGCGAGAGCGGTCTCGCGATCCCGCTGTTGCTGGCTATTCGTGGCCGTGAGGGTCTGCGCGGGGCTCTGAGGGCTTGCCTGCGGTCCGTGGGTTGGGCGGTCCCGCTGGCCTGGTGGCCGTCGTCCCGAGGCTCGCGGCCGTCCTTATCGAAGCCCCGGTGACCCGACTGGGAGGGTTGGCTGCCTTGGGCGTGGTGAGTGGCCATCGTGTTCTGGCGCCCCTGGGCGATGGATAGCCGACTCAACAGGGTGGTACACGGTTGTGTTGCCATGGTCACAAGGGTGATTGCGTGTGGGAAAGTCATTGTTGTCGTCGTCGTTGAGAGGGGCTCCGAGCCCGAGCAGGTCGAGGTCCTCACCTTCGAAGCGATCCGCAGGTGGGGACCAAGGGTCCGAGACTAGAAGAGAAGGAGAGAGAGAGAGAGAATATGATAATGGAAGGGAACGGAAGAGAAGAGGAGAGGAGACGAAAGAAGCAGAGAGAAAAGGAGGAACGAGGAAGGAAGACGAAGGACGATGAGAGAAGAGGAAATTGGAGAGAAGCGGAGATAAGCGAAAACAAAATGAGAGAAGAGGAATGGAGAGGAGGGGAGAAAAGAGGAGAGCGGTGAAGAGACGAAAACGGAAGAAAAGAGAATGGGAAAAAAAGAGGCGAAGCGAGAAGAGAAGGGAAGGCATGCACCGGGTGGCCGCTAAGGGCTGCCTGACGTAATGCGGTTGGTCACATTGGCTCAAATCAGGCAGGTTGCCCCGGACTCGTGTTCTTGACTGGGCCCGCACGGAAAGGGGTGCTCATGGGTTGTTGTGCTTCGCGCGATAATGGAGAGAAGCGCATGGGCTGCCTCGAGGCCACGGTCTGCGCCGTTATCCAGTACACCTTCCCGCCGATTGCGAAGATGGGGATGGAGGGCACCCCGAAGGAGGAGAGGCTCCAGATCCTGGAGGACCTGCGTAAGATCACATCTCGGCGGCGCGCCCACGAGGGAAGTGAGGGGGGGGCAGGTCTGCTCAGAAGGCGGCGGGGCTTCTCAGAAGCCCTCTGGCCTTCTGGAAGCCCCCTGTGGCCTCGGAGAAGGCTCGGCAAGCTTCCCAGAAGGTGGGAGACCTGCTGAGCCTTCTCGGACGGGCCGCCCCCCTGTGCCCCCCCCCCCCCCGGGCGCGCCGCCGAGCATCTCCTGGCCCAGAGAGGCTGGCGAAGGAGATCCAGGGCCTCTGGACGACGGAGGAGCCGGGGCGACGAGATCCGTGCACAGCCGCTGCCCTTCCCCGGGCCCGCCCTTGGGGCCACGATCAGCGTGCACGCCCCCCCCCCGGCCAGGCCAGGGCGGCGCACACACGGCTCCCTGGCCCGAGGACGGGCCTCTGCGGCAGGCTCGCGTCGTGCCGACGGGCGGCGACCCAACCGCGTGCGTTGAAGGTGGAATGCCGCCCGTGGCCCAGAATGGGCCCGTCGTTGAACGACTCGGCCTCCTCCTCCTCCTCCTCCTCCTCCTCCTCCTCCTCCTCCTCCACCTCCTGGCGTTCACGGAACGTCCGATCGTTCAAGTTTGAACGATCCCCGCGGTGTCAGGAACCAACGCCGGGGTCCACACGACTCGAACTTGCCTCTAGGCTGGGGCACCGGACGTGTGTGGACGCCACGGCCCCAGGAGATCGAGCTGCCCCGCCGCTGCGGCGGCGGCGGCCCCGTGCGCGTGCTGCTCGGACGCCCCGCTGGCGACCCGCCCGGCCGAGACCTGCCGCTGGTGGTCTGGCTGCACGGCGGCGGCCTGGTCGCGGGTTGCCCCACCCAGCCGCAACTGGTCCAGGCTTATGTTGCTCCCATCGTACGTAAGGGCCACATCCCAGAAATAATGTCGAGCACCTGGAAAAACATCGAAACAGTGCCGAACGAGTCTCGCCTCCCAGGGCCCGACACGTGAAAAATCCTCAGATGTCGGTGCTTTCTTGGTGCTCGAAATTCTCTCTGGTGATCAGGGCTAAAGTAGGTTGGAACATCATAAGTCCAGGCGCTCCGGGGCGCGGCGAGGGCGTGGCCGCACGCCGACGCCGACGCGGCCGCCCCGCCCCCGGCCTTGTGCTGCTGGGCAGCGGTGCGCTACCGCCTGGCGCCGGAGGCGCTCGGAGGAGGGGGAAAACAGGTACAGTGGGCGCGCGGATCAAGAAATTGACTGCTGTTCGTCAGGGTACCCTGGGTTTCTTCGCTCCGCGCGCTGCGCGGTGGCTTCCCGTGGCCGTTGAAGGAGCTGCTGCGTTCAGGATGCTCTGGTCTCCCCCCACTTGAATCTCGCGCCTGCGGGTTTCAGGGCTAGGTTTCTTGCGAAGGTTTCTTGCGGCCGCGCCCGCACTGTTTTCGGTTCGGCAGCAAACCATGGGAGCCTTGTATACCCTTTCAATTCCGTCTTCGGCGTCGACTAGCATCGATATAGCGTCTGGGAGTCGATGAGGTAGCGCCGATTTAGCATGGGCTAGCGTCGATGTAGCGTCGATTAGCGTCGATTTAGCGTCGATTAGCGTCGAGTCGCAAGAGCGGACAAGATGGTATGGGAGGCTCCCATGAGTTGCCACCGAAGGTACAGAAGGTTCGCGTCGTGTCGACCGGCGGCGACCCCGCCGCCGGCGTTCCACGTTGAGCGCCGCCAGCGACCCAGAATCGGTCGATGTGGAACGATCTGGCGTTTCGGACACGGCCGATCGTTCGAGGTGGAACGACCTCCGCGGCGTCAGAAGCCGAAGCCGAAGTCGGCACGGCACGAACCTGCCGCACCGCTGCCGCGCTTTCGTCCGGGAGAGCTCCCGCCGCCACGGCCGGATTCGCTTCGAAGTTCTGGCCGGAACGCACCCTCGCGGAGAGGTTCAGAGAGCAGCGGCATCGGTACCGTTGAGTCAGGCGTGCCCCCCTACAGGCGGAATGCTCAGAAATAGTAGAAGAGTTGCCTGGGGACGATTGTCGGACCAGGTGTGATGACTTGTGCATAGCATGCTGTGGCTATGTTCCACGTTGCCTCCAGAATCCGCTTGTAGAATCCGCCTGTAGGTCAACGCCCCGACTGTACCCGACCCGACGGCACCGTGGTGTCCCCTCAGGCTCAACTCCCCGACGCCGTCGACGACGCCGTGAGCGCCTTCCTGGCACTGGCCGAACCGGCGAGCGCGGCGCGCTTCGGGTACAGCCGCGCCCGCATGGGCCTCGCCGGCTGCTCCGCCGGCGGCGTTCTCGCCACCCACGCGGCACTGCGGCTCGCAGAGGCCCAGGAGGCGCGAAGGGATCCCTTAACCGTGATTTGAAGATTTTCACCGTGGGTTAACTTTAACAGCGTGGTGTCAGCAGCATAGTGTCAGCTGACACCACGCTGTTGACGCTGCGCTCTTGACACAACTCACGGTCAAGCCGCCACCTCGGCAGGCGCCGCCGCCGGCCTTCATGGTGCTGGACTACCCGATGCTCGACCCCGCCATGGACACGAGGTCCTGGGCGGTGCACGGCGACGGCCGCATCATACACAGGAGCTCAGAGGAGGGCGAGATACCCATACCGATGCCCTTGCCTCGTTTTCGCCTTGTTGGGCCTCAGGGGAGGCCCTTGCCGCCACGGCTGGATTCGCTTCGGAATCCTGGTCAGAACGCACCGCGGGAGAGGTCTGAGGAGTAGCGGTATCGGTACCTCTTGGTTCCCTGAGGAAGAGGGAGGAGGAGGAGGCGGAGGAGGAGGAGGCCTCTGCGCATAAGTATTTCGTCATTATCTTTCCGTTTTTTTTGGAAAAACGCAACAGCCTTGGCGTTGATGTTTGCCTGACATCAAGGAGGAGGAGGAGGAGGAGGAGGAGGAGGAGGAGGAGGAGGAGGAGGGGGAGGAGGAGGAGGATGAGGAGGAGGAGGAGGTGGGCCCCTCCTTGTCTCTAGGCCTCCCAGATGGGGTCCGAGAGTAGATGGGGTCGGAGGATCGCGCCGCATCGCCGATGCATCACCAATGCGGCTCGATGTGGAACCCGATGTTCTCCACGCCGGCGTCGCCGATGCACCGCCGACGTCGCCGATGCCTCGCTGGTGCGTCGCCGATGCATCGCGATGCATCGGCGATGCGGCGCGATCCTCCGACCCTGTCCACTCGGACCCCAGCCGGGAGGCCTCTAGCGTTGCAATGCTTCACAACGGGCGCTGATGTTTGCCAGACGTCAACAAGAATAAGAAGAAGAAGAAGAAGAAGGAGAAAAGGAGGAGGAGGAGGAGGAGGAGGAGGACCCTCCGAAATGTAGTCACCCCAGTCGTTTCAAAACGCCAGTGCTGGCAGTGGAGCCTGGCTGGCCCGGAGGCTCCGGGGCCAACGTCCGGGGGGCGGGGGGGGGGGCATGGGCCGAGGCGTGGGGGGTGGGGCAGCGGCCCCCGGGCGCCCGCGCGCCGCCACAGTCGGGGGCTGCCCCCCCCCCGCCGAGGAGCGTGCGGCTGCGCCAGCGGGGGGGGGGCCTGTCGCCGATCCATCAGCGATGCCTCGCCGATTCCAGGTCGGCGTCCCCGCTTCCTGAGTGGAGGAGGAGGAGGAGGAGGAGGAGGAGGCGGAGGAGGAGGAGGAGGAGGAGGAGGAGCATGGGGTCGGAGCAGACGGGGTCGAAGGATCGGGCCACATCGCCGATGCCTCGGCGATGCGGCTCGATGCGGAGCCCGATTTGCTTCACGTCGACGTCACCGCTGCATCGCCGACGTCGCCAGTGCATCGCCGATACATCGGCGATGCATTGGCGATGCGGTGCGATCCTTCGACCCCACCTGCTCTCGGACCCCATCCAGGAGCCCTCTACCGAGCCAGTCCTCCCAGAATTACCCGCCGTGCCCCCCCGGAGGAGGGCGCGACCCCGGCTGCCGAGCGCGTGCAGTGGGCCAGCCCGGCGCCGCATACCGCGTGGGCTGCGCCGCGCCTGAAGGACATGCGCGCGCTGATCCTGCTCGGGTGCTGCGATCCGCTGCACGACGAGGGCCTGGCGCTCGCCGGTCGCCTCAGAGATGCCGGGGTCCAGGTGCAGGTGGTCGAGGCGGCAGGCAACCACGTGACGGCCCACATGTTCGACAAGGGGGCTGGCAGCGAGTTCCACATGGGCGTGTTGAGGCTGTTGACAGAGTGAGACGTCTCTCCGTGGCACGATCCACCTGCAACATTACATATGACCGCCAGCTCGTGGTCAATATGCTCAAATTGTCTGGGTTTTCACGCGCGAGAAGCTTGTGACGCGTCAGTGTGCTCATGTCTCCAGATGAGCAACCCACCAGACTTTTTTTTTCTGAGCGCCTCGGCTCGCCAGGTCCTGGGACAGAGCGCTGGTCTCGCGGAGTCTCGCGCTCTGCCTGGCAAAGGGCCCAACCTCATGCCTCTGCCTGCAGCGTTGGGGGTGGGCCTCTCCTCGAAAGGTCAATCCGCATAGTAAAGATGAGCGACGTTCCAAGGTTACCCCTGCATCCTTCCCCTTCGGCCCAGCCTCGACCGCTTTCGCTGGCCGCGCCCTGCTCGCACAGTGTCGGCATGGTCTTCCAGGGCCCTTGCATCCTTGCAGTCGAGCATCTGATGAAGAAACCTCCACCTGAAAAGCTGGGCCAACGTTTCGTAACCAACCTGCTGGGCAGCTGCCCCAGCTTCTCGAGCACGCTCGCCCCTCCGGCGCTCACGATAGCAATTGGCCCAGGCTTGGTTTGAGAAACTTCTGGGAAGCCGGCCCTGAGTTGAGAAACTTTGGGAAGCCGGCCCTGAGTTGAGAAACTTCTGGGAAGCTGGCCCTGAGTTGAGAAGCTTGAGGAAGCTGGCCCTGAGTTCTTAGATTATCAGGCTCTTGATCTCATACCTTCCGTGATCGACCGCGCCCTGCGCGCCGCGGGAACGGCGCTGGAGCTCGGGGCGGAGCGGCCGCCGGGGGCCGGCAAGCATGGCAGGCGCGCGGAGCGCCCTCCGGTGCGGGGGGTGTGTGGTGGTGGGGGGCGGGGGGGGGCTGTGCCGGGGGTCTGCTGCGGGGGTGGGGGGCCGGTCCGCCCGGCCACGCGCGAGAGGGTGGAAGGGGGGTGGGCGTCTTTAAAACGACGCGAGGATCGGGACAAAATCGGATCATGATCGGGATAACTCGAAATCTCCGAGAATCGGCGGGTTTGGAGGACGTGTTGGGCGCCGCGGCCGCTCCAGAGCGTTCCGGAGCGCTCCGAGAGCGCTCCGGAACGCTCTGGAGCGATTTATCCCGATCCCAGGATTGCAAAAAAACCGAAGGATTGCAAAAAAACCCTAGGTTTTTTTGCAATCCTTCGGTTTTTTTGCAATCCTTCTTGCAATCCTTCGGGTTTTTTTTGCAAAGCCCTGTTTTACATTTTGGAAGGAGGCTGGTTCTTAGAGGGCGCCGGCCTTACCGCGCACAAGTCTGCGGGGGCGCCCGCGGAGGCCCAGGTTGCGCGGCTGCCGTTGCCGTTCTGGGGCATCGGCTGCCTCGGCGCGCCCGTGGTGGAACGCAACGCGTTCCGTGTGGAAGGAGTCTGTGTCGAGACGTTGCGTGTTGGTTCAACGTTTTTCAGGAGGGGAAAAAACACACAGACACAATTAATCGTCGACTCCCCAGAAAATATGGGAAAATATGGGAAGTGGTGGGGAAGACAAAAACCCAGAAAATATGGAAAAATATGGGGAATATTTTTATTTGTGTGTATTTATTTGTGTGTCCCAGGGCCCCTTCAGTTTTGGCTCACGTGTTGGCGAACGCATGGCGTCAGACCTGCGTCTCTAGTCGACGTGCTGAGATCCGTACCGGTACGCCACGCGTTACGTGCTGCGTATCGGAGCATCTGAGGATTGGGGTGACCGTCAGCACCACTGCTCGGGTGGAAAACTTCGACCCCTGCCAGCAGCACAACGATCAGAAATCAGTTCAGGATGCTTGCCCGTCCGTTTAAGTCGGGCCTGTCCCCCTACAGGGGGATTTTCGACGAAACCCCAAAAATAGTCCAACAATAGTCCAAAAATAGTCTGGGGACTATTTTTTGAGTATGTTTTGACCTTTTTGGGGTACTTTTTGGTGTATTTTTTATTGTTCTTCGAAAATCCCCCTGTAGGGGGACACGCCCGACATAACCGTACGTTCTGGTACGGGCCTGCCCTGCGCGTGACAGCGGCACGCCCTCAGACTCCCAGTCGGGGGTCGGGGACGCATGTCGCGAGCGGCGCTGCCGTCGCCAGCACGTTGGCGCTGCCACCGAGCTGCGAGACGCCGCGCCGCTGAGCGCGTTGGGGCCTGCTTCTGCCGACACCTGATGATGGTCATGATGCTGATGATGATGCTGATGATGATGCTGATGATGATGGTGCTGATGATGATGGTGCTGATGATGCTGGTGATGATGATGATGCTGGTGATGGTGATGCTGATGATGCTGATGGTAATGATGAAGATGTTGATGATGTTGGTGATGAGAATGATACTGATACTGATGTTGGCGATGATGCTGATGATAATAGTGATGATGCTGATGATGATGATGAGGAGGAGGAGGAGGAGGAGGAGGAGGATGATGATCTGGGTCTGGCCTGTTGCGGCCGATGCTCTTTGTCCTGGTCCCCCTCGTCCCTCCCTGCTCCCTGGGGCGGGCACCAGAAATAGAGGGATGGAGAGGGAGTGGAGAACGGGTGGGCGCGCCGCCAGGGCACGGCCTCCGCCCCAGGCCTTGGGCGCGCCACCACTTGGCGCACGGCCTCGCGCGAGGAGAGAGAGAGAGAGAGAGAGAGAGAGAAAGAGAGAGCGGAAGAGATAGAGAGAGCAAAAGAGAGAGAGAGAGAGGGGAGATCAGAAAAGAGAGACAGAGAGATCTACACATATATATATATATATATATGTACAGAGAGAGAGGGGGGGAGGCGGCGGAAGGGAGGGGGTACCCGAATGCCGCTCGGCTCAGGCAACCTCGCGCGGTCCAAGGCGTGCGCACGGCCGCAGCTGAGGCGGCGCATGCCGACGTTGCGCTTGCACCTCGGCACCCTGCTCTTATCGCTGGCAGCATGCCGGGTCCCAGTGGTGCCGATGGAGCGTGCCAGCGTCGGCGGGATGTCCGTGCTGCAGGGGCGCGAGACTGCGATCACGGCTCAGCCTTTCTTCGTGCTCCCTGGCCTCGTGAGCCAGCGGCTGGTGGCGGAGGCGCTGGCGGCAGTGGAGCAGCTGCTGTTCGACGACCACAACGACGAGGCCGATTGGCTGCCCGCGTTCGAGGTCTACATCGTGGAGAGGGGAGAACCGCTCCCTGTCGCCCCAGCGTTAAGTCGGGCATATCCTTCTACAGAAGGAATGTGCAAAAAAAGTCACAAAGATAGTCTGGGAAATATTCTTTATTATTGTTCAAACAGTCTGGGAACGATGCGTTACTATTTTTGCCTATGTTTGACTCTTCTTCTTTTTTCCCCAAAAATCCGCCTGCAGGAGCACATGCCCGACCTAACCCCAGCGCACGGCCCGCTTTACGCCGCGGTGCAGGAGCTCTCCAGCCTGGTGCTGCCCTTCGTGCGCCGGGCATACCGGTGCGAACGCTGCACCTCCTGCACCGCGTTTGTGCGCAGGTATCTGCCCAGCGAGCGGATGCACATCCCCGCCCACTTCGACGTCACCGCGTACTCCACCATCATACTGCCGCTGAGCCCGGCGGGCAACTACTCTGGAGGCTTCTTCTCGAGGAGCGCAGTGCCACAAGCAGGAGTTTTCGGAGATCCGTGCCGATGTCTTGGATCGGCAATGGGCCCCCCTCCCTGATGCGCGGAGCGCGCAAAGAGCGGCGCCAGAGGCGCCACCCAAGAGGCTCCAGCACCGATCCGAGAAATCTGCGCGGACCTCCGAAAACTTACGTTGATACCATCTGTGGCTCCTCGGTCTTCGTGCAGCCTACGGCGCACGTGGGGTCCCGCGCGTTCGTGCCGCTCGACGTCGGGGACGTTGCGGTGCATGACTTCACCCTGAACCACGGCATCTCGGAGGAGAAACAGAGACCACCGCAACCGAGAGCCCATTGGGGGCTGGGGTGGGAGCCGACCCCTGGGCGTCTCACGCCCGAGCGACATCCTGTACACGACGACGCTCGGGCGTGCCACCGCGCAAGGGTCGGTTCCCCCCCCCGATGGGTTCTCGGTGGCGGTTGTCCATCTTCGTTGCGTGATATCTGGCCCCGAACCAAGTCTCTGGATCGGTTTTGACGTTGCGGAGATCGCGGCGGCCAGAAGTCGGGGCAAGGTTTTTCTTCAGGAGTTGCGTGGCCTTTCCCAGCCCCCGCCCCGCCCTGCGGCGTAGACATGGTTCACGATGAGCACGACAGCGACAGAGAGTGGACCTTTTTTTGTGTCCAACATGGGCAGTCATTTTGTTGGCCAGGGGCCCCGTATCACGCAACCAATCGCCAAACATTACGACCAGAACCGAGAAGCACATCTTCCTGAGTCACTGTCCAAGTCGGAACGATTTGTGATGGTCTTTGGGGCCCGAAATTGGGCGAGAGCGCCCGGTGTTAAAACAGTGCAACGCCAGGATCTCGGAGCAAGGGTTGGAGGAGGAGGAGGAGGAGGAAGAGAAGGAAGAGGAAGAGGAGGCGGAGGAGGAGGAGGAGGAGGAAGAGGAGGAAGAGGAAGAGGAAGAGGGAAGAGGGAGGAGGAGGAGGAGGAGGAGGAGGAGGTGGGTTGTCGGCGGCGGCGGTCCGCGTTTCTCCTCCGGGCGTCGACGTGCTTGGCGGCGGCAGGTTCAGCCTGGTGGTCTGGGTGGCCCAGGACGAGGCCGCGTGCGCCGGCAGCGGCACCCCGTGGCACGCCGACCGCGCGCTGCAGGGCGACGTGGTGGCCCAGCACATGTCGGAGGAGGGCGAGGCGAGACGGCGGCACAGCGGAAGACGTTGAAACGAGGAGGGGGGGGAGGAAGGGAGGAGGGGGAGGAGGAGGATGTTGGGGAGGGAGGAGGAGGAGGATTATGAGGAGGAGGAGGAAGGAGGTAGGAGGAGGGAGGAGGAGGAGTGTGAGGAAGGACAAAAGGAAGGAGAGGAGTAGAGGAGAGGAGGAGGGGAGGAGGAGGGGGAGGAGTAGAGGAGGAGGAGGAGGAGCGAGGGGGAAGAGGAGGAGTGTGAGAGGAGAGGAGGGAGGAGGGAGGAGGAAATTCGGGAGGGGCTCGATGTGCCGCACGTCCTTCTGTGGTTGTTCCTCTAGCCCTTCTCGTGCAACGCCAGGCTTTTTTGGAGCCGCAGAGGCGCCTCGTTCTTAATACAGCGTTTCTTATTTCAGCAGCCCGACTGTACGGTAGGTGATCGTTTTTCTATTCATTGTTTTGCCGATCGGCGCGGGCCCTCGCACCCCCCCTCCCCCCCCCCATGGAGTAGGTCTTGGCCGTTTTCTGCGCCTGTTTCAGGCAGGTGGAGTCGGCCCCAGGGGACGCACGCTTCCGAACAGTCGCGCTGAGCAGAGGTCCGGAGCCAGACCCCTCCCCCACTCCCCCCCCTTCCGCCCAATGTCGAAGCGCCGAATAAGAAAACGTTCACCAGCTAGGTCACCCCCAAGGGCGCGTCGCGGTCTGGGCCAGATGTTGCCAGGGTTTATCCTCCCAGGGGGCGGCCCCAGGGCGCGAGGGCGCAAGGCGAGACAGCGGTTTTGCAGTCGAGGAGGAAGAGACGGCATAAACATAAACGTTCGGAGGTCCGCGCGGATGTCTCGGATCGGCGCTGGGCCCCCCTGGCGGCGCCTCCTGCGCCGCCCCTGGCGCGCTCCGCGACCCAGAGAGGGGGGGCCCAGCGCCGATCCAAGACATCCGCGCGGACCTCCGAGAAACGATGTTTGTGCAGTGTTTGTTCCTCTAGTACGGTAGGCTCGTGCCGTGTCGACGAAGCGGCGACCCCAGCGGGCGTTCCAGGTGGAGCGCCGCCAGTGGCCCAGGATCGGCCGACTTCGAGCGATCTGCACCATCGGAACGCCGCGATCTGTCAAGGAAGAGCGATCCACGCGGCGTCAGAAAGTGACGCCGGGGTCGTCACGACACGAAGCCGCCACAGTTGACCCTCGCCGCCACGGCCGAATGCAGCTCGGAAAACTGGCGCGTGCGGACCCCAGGAGGGCTCCAGGGACCGATCGTGAGCTGCCGATGTCTCAACTCGCCCTGCTCCGATCATCCTCGGCATGATGTTCAGCCACGGCAACGGCGCCCCCAGGGACGAAGAGGAAGGGTTGCGTTGGACCCTCCGTGCCGCCGAGGGCGGCCTGGCCAATGCCCAGTTCAGCGCCGGCACAATGTACTTTGAGGGCCGTCGGGCGTTGCGCAATGGGGAGCGATAAGTAGGGGGGTTAAGGAAGGTGCACCTTTCGTTCACCTCAGGGGCCCTAGAGGGGCCCTCTGGGGTCCAAAAGGTGCACGAAGGGTGCACATGCCTTCGCCTCCCCACTTTTCGCCGCCCCATTAGTTCAGCAACGCACAAGGCCAGGGCACGCCGGCCAACAGGACGCGGGCGCTGCACTGGTACACCCAGGCCGCCGTGCAGGGCGACGCATCTGCGCAGATGACCCTGGCCCACATGTACCGAGAGGGCATCGGCACTGGCAGGGACGATGCTCGAAGAAGAAAACACTGCCTAAGCATAAACTTTCGACGACCCGCGCGAATTTCTTGGCTCTGCGCTGGAGCCCGGTGGCAGCGTCTCCGGCGCCGCCCCTGGCGCGCTCCGCGCGCCAGGGAGGGGGGCCCAGCGCAGACCGAAGAAATCTGCCAGGACCGTCGACATTTCATGTTTATGCAGTTTTTTCTCCCCCCTGATGCGCAAGCACAGCATTGGTTCCAGCTGGCTGCCTCCCAGAACGTGGCACTCTGGAGTGGGCCTCCGTCGCTTGCGAGATGAAAAGGAGGAAGTTCAGACGGATCATCTCACATAGGCAGGGAACACACGTTGCACACGCATGAGGACATCTACTGGATCGGACAATCATCGCCCCGGGGAGTTGGACGAGGAGGAGGAGGAGGAGGAAGAGGAGCAGGTGGAGGAGGAGGAGGAGGAGAGGAGGAGGAGAGGAGGTGGAGGAGGAAGGGGGGGTGATGGGCAAGCTCCGTCGGAAGGTCCATCTACCCCCCCCCCCGATAAACACTCCATCCGGAGTAGCAGGTTCGGGGTCCGCGGCCTTTCATATCTGGGACACGTCGCTAGTATCTCGAAGTCGTTCGTTTTGCCGTTCCCTGAACGTCATCTAGCAGCTCTGGGGGGGCAGGTGTTTTTGGGATGCCCCGAGCGGCCACAGAGATCCCCGACCCAAAGAGGACCAAAGACGTTCCAAGAGACCATTCAGAAGGCCCCACGAATAGAATACCGCCCGAGAGTTCGCCAAGATGTTGTCAAGATGGTTCTTTTGGGGCGGCAAACAGATACTCCAACGGTTGGGCCCCACATGATGTTGGAATTGGAGGGGTCAAAAGGATGAGTATGTAGGGTGATCAGAATGGAGGAAGAGGAGTAACATTGAATAAAAGGGATCAGTTGTAACATGCGAAGAGAGAACGAGGACGATGACGAGCGCGGAGAATGATGGTCCAATGCAGTGAGGAGAGCGAGGAGGAGATAGAAGAGGGGGAGGTGGACCGGGAGGAGGCGAAGTGAAGAGGATGACAACAGAGGATGAGGAGGAGCAGTAGCATCAAGGGGGGAGAAGGAGGAAGAGGAGGAGAAGGATGTCAGTAGGAGAAGGAAGATAATTGCGCTCTCTATGAATCGATCCGTGTCCGCATTGAGGGAGTATTTGATGGATAGGGCAGATGTACGGGCGGATGCGATGATGACTGCCTGAAGATGCAAATCACGCGTGGGGCCGCTATGAACCACGACCTCTTAAAGGGATTGCGCAGTTGAGTCGGACAGGGTTTGGGCGAAAACGTGCTGCGACCAGGATGTTCTCGTGCAGGGGCATAGAAGGCGATGCGCCCCGCGAGCAGCCAGCAAATGACCTTTCAAGGAGGCGGCCGTGCCCCTCAAATGGTCCGCCATTCAGAGCGCACCTGGGGACCCACTGGCCCACCTGCGAAGTGCGAACCACCGCCCCGCACATAGAGAGACGTCAGCCGTATGACCTCTGAAAGTTTGGCTTAAGCCGTCCAAGCACCTGGCTTCTGCATTAGCTCAGGTCGCATTATTGCGCATACACTTACACATGTTCACCCGTGTTGCAGTGGCGTCGGCCTTGGTCAGCGCCGCTCGCGTGCGTGCAGAGGGCGAGGCCCTAGTGACCGAGCTCGCAGAAGAAGTGCTTGCCTGGGAGTCTTGGAAGGTCCTACCGAGTCCGTGGGAGACTGTCTTCAACCGGCCGTCGAACAGGGATGTTGGCTCCGTCACGGAGCACCCGATCTGGGATAAATACGACCTCGAGGTGTTTCCCGACTCTCTCGAGACCACGCGTGAGCAGGACGGATTCCCGCCCAACATTGCAATGGGCAGGGTGCTGATCAAGGACAGCAAGAAGCCCACCCAACCGCCCCCGAGCTACCGCATGACAGGCGTCGGAGGCGAAGAGGTAAGGCACCTCAATGGTATGGTGAATCCGTCGGGGGCAACGACTGTCTGGGGTTGGCAGAGGATCCGGTATTTGGCCGTGAAGACGTGGATCGACTATTGGGCGACCCGCAACACCGAGAAATTGATCGTCGTCCATGCTAGCGGCGAGGTCTTGTATGCTGGCTGCGACGAAAACACCATTCAGTTCAAGTACAACGAGATCATCACTGCTAGTGGTGGCACTCAGAAGGTTGTCTTGGCTGCTGAGGTGAGCCCTTCGCCTATGGGTCTGGCGTGGCGTTACGAACAGACTGCTGGCATCGCGACGACACAGAGCAACTTCCTGTCAACTGTGGGCGTTGCATCCGCGTTTGCCTCAACCTATGCCGACTGCACCAACTCGACTGTCGGGTATTGTACCACTCCGCCCTCGTACAAGTTTGCGAACGGAGCCTTCATCATGGGCCCTATCGGTGACATCGCCGACATGCTTGCCGATATGTACTACTGGGCCGATTCAGAGAGCATGCTGATCAACGAGTATTTCTTGCATAACCCTGACAAGGTTGCTCTGGACTACGCCGGCCTCCTGGTGTTGTCCCTGAACAACATGAAGCTTGACTCTGGTATCCCCGTCGCTGTGGAAAGCGCTTCGGGCACGAAGTCTTTCAGGAACTTGATTACTGGCGGCAATGTGTGTTTCGTACACGGCGGCGGGAATTCGTTCGATGCCCTCAAGGTTCTTGCGCAGGAGTTGTTGTCGGACGCGTGAGAGCGCGGTGACGAGGTTGCTGCCGTTTTCCCCAGCGGCGACCATCTAGGTGGCCACCATGTTTTCTGCATGCCTTTGCATTCTGGAGTGAAATAGAAAAGTCATCATCCACAGGACGCGCTGGGGCAAGGATGCGCGCAATATGGGCCCCGGAAGCATAATGCGGGTTCGCAGGATGCTTTGAACGAGGGCCTCTTCTGAATTGGGTCCAGGAGGAAACTAGTTTGAGCCTTCTGGTGCCAGCCGGGACCTAGAATGGCCGATCGAATCCGGATGCGACATTTGATATTTCGGCCCGATCCTGAGGGGGTCGACGCACGGGCGCTTCGAAAGTTGCTTGGAGCTACTTGAGTTGCGGAGGATTGCCCTGGCCCCGATTGCCATTCGGTTTGTAGTATTGTCATTGCTTGCCATGCCGGATCCCGTTCGTCGCACGAGCGCGGTTCAGGCAGGCCTAGAATGGAGAAACCGCTCCAGGGCGTTCCAGAAGGCACGGTCTCAGAGCGTTCTGGAGCGCTCTGGAACGACAGCGGTGCCAAGCGGGCACACCTTCTAGACCGCCGTCTCCGAGAGATTCCCGAATCATATCAACCTGATGTGGTCCTCTGATCAGTTTCCCTTTGGTTGTTCGGCCTCGAAGAGTATTGTGAGTTCCACGCTTGGCGAAGGTCACAAGCCGGTTCACTCGGCGTCGACGGCGGACCAAAAGATTCACAGCGTGCTGTTGTCCAGTTGCGTTGCAGCGCATCTTCCCAGCGCGCTGCGCAAGCGTGTGTGCAGCTTCACTGCGCCTCCCGAGTGCCATGCGGGAGACCACAGGGGAGGGTCGACGGGATGCCGCACGGGAGGCCATGGCGGGAGACCACCCCCCACGGGAGATCCCACGGGAGACCAGGCGGGAGACCACGCGGGAGATCGTACGGGAGACCACCCGAGAAGCCATACGGGAATCCATACGGGAGACCACACGACAAGAATCAGACAGGCGACCCCACGGGAGGCCACGCGGGAGACCGTGCGGGAGACCATGGCGGGAGACCTCACGGGAGACCTTCCGGGAGACCATACGGGGCACCATGCGGGAGGGGGGGCGTTTTCGAGGCTATCCGGGAGTCCATGCAGTAGACGAGACGGGCCACCGTGCGGGAGACCGTGCGGGAGAGCGCACGGGAGACCGTGCGGGAGACCATGCGGGACACTGGACGAGAGACCGGGCGAGAGACCGGGCGGGGGGCCATGCGGGAGACCCTGCGGGAGGCCACACGGAAAACCAAATTTGGACCCGGAGGATTCTGCAGGTGGCTAATCATAGATGTTGTGTCTTCATGTGTATGTATACACGTATGTAGACCACCAAGCAGGGAAACAAAAGATCAATGTGTGAAAGGTTGGCGGAGCCAGGCACCCGAAACAAAGTGTCTGAAGCACGTGTTCGGTGCATTCCAACAGTGTGACGCCTCTGCTCTCCTGCAACCTCTTTTCAGACCAATAACTTACATACGACACCCTTCTCTCTTGTGTTGGCCCGTCTCTCATCTGCTCTCATATCATCCTAGATGTCCTCATCATGTTTGTGCTCGTCCATCCGTTCCCCTTCCCCCATCGCTCGCATAGATTGTGTTTCCCCTGCCTCTGCTGATACTTGACCGCACTTGACCGCTGCGCTTAATGCCATGCGTTTCGCTGTTTGGCAGAAGCTGAGGTTGTGGGCCGTGTGGTCGAATGAGCAGAGCTGGATTCAGGGAGTGCTTCTGGAGGAACTTTGCGGATTCGAGCGGTTGTGGTAAGCGAGAAAAGATTCGCGTGCATCTTCTTTGTCAGATGCTTCATCGTGCGGCCACATGCCTCTGGGATGGCTAGACACATGGAGAACAAGTAAGCCCAGCGTTGCGTGCAATACCGATGTCTGGATAAGCACTACAGGTGGCGTTGTAGCGCATGTTTGCAGTATCGTTGTGAGAACAGGATACGGTTCGCGAGGCTCCTGCTTTGAAGAAACGGCGCAAACAAAAGTCTGACCGACTTGGGTGGCTCGAGTATGGAGGGGGATGGGGAGGGGGCAGCCCGAGAGAGCGGGGTGGAGAGAAGGGGGGCAGGGGAATCGGCGAGGCGATGGAGGAAGCAAAAGGGGGGGCAGGGGAATCGGCGAGGCGATGGAGGAAGCAAAAGCGGGGGGGTGTGGTGTGGTTGGGGCGGGGGGGCCGGCCAGAACGCGAGGTCGATAAAGGGGGGGGGCTTATTGAGACCGAGGCCGCCGTGCCCGCGCGGCGCCGAGGCAGCTTCCGGACGGTTGCACCGCAAGGGGGCCACCGTGGCCCGGCGTGAAGCTCGGCATCGCTCGGACGTGTGCGTTTTTTTTCCCCGGCGAGAACCACCGAGGACCATCCTGGACCATCGAGAGAGAGAGAGAGAGAAAAACAAAAAA